GGCAATTTCGCAGCTGGCTATCAAATAATCTAAGACGCGGTCGGTCATTTTTTTTATACATATTGGTAGTGCTTTCTGATACGATTTCTAGTGGCGTCGTGTTCGGTGTCAACACAGGCAGCGCTCCCGAAAAATACTAGTGCCGCGTTTTCTCTTATCCGTTCCCAACCTTCGCAATACATTGTCGCATCTCTCGCAGGACGTAAATATCTCCTCGCACCCAAGGACTTACTCACAGTCCCACATCTGAAAGACGTACGCGTTGGCGACGTGTTGGCGTTGCAGGATATACATGAAGTTGGCTCACGGGATTACACCCTTCGCGGTGATCCTGTAATATCGTCAAGTCGCGTTAAGGTTGATGCTACCGTCGTCGAGCATACCAAGGGTAAAATGGAGGTGGTGTTCAAGAAGAAGCGTAGAAAAGGTTATCAGAAGACGATCAAGAACAAGCATCCATACACTCGTCTGCGTATAGGCTCTATTGAGTTCCCTGATCCTTCGAATCCATAGCATTGGTCCGAGCATTATAATATTTTTGTTTTCTAATCAGTCAAATCATCACGCACAAGAAAACGGAAGTTAGTCAATATTAAAACCAGTGGATAAGTATCATATCTCCCCTTCTTCAGGCGTTTCCGCCCTCCGGGATCGTTCTCCGCGCTCCTCTCTAAAATCTACATCAGGATCGTAGCGAGCACGCTTTTCAGCGCGTTCACTATGTGCCCTATCAGAACCTCGCTTCCGTTCTCTACTCTGTTCTGGTTTATCCCCTGCAACATCTTCCTCGTCCCCGTATGGCGGCGCATCAGTCCGACTATAACCACGTTCCCTTGAACCTTTCCTACGCTTGCGCTCATCCCTTCCGTCCCGCTCGTCTCGGGTATGCCGTTTGTGCTCGCGATCCCTGTCCCTATCTCTGTCTCTTTCCCTGTCCTTCTCCCTATCACGTTCACGTTCACGTTCACGATCCTTTTCCCGCTCACGCTCGCCATGCCCGTCCTTGTCACGGCCATGGTACCCGTCGTGGTCCTCACGGTGGTGGTGTCTGGAGCTCCTGTCCCGCTCACGATCTCGCTCGCGGTCTCGCTCTCTGTCACGGTCATCGCGGCGGTCACGGTCACGATCCCGCTCACGTTCGCGCTCAGGCTCCTTACGACGTCTACTCGTCGTTGAAGCACCATCCTCCGACGGAGCCTCGCGTAGTCGTTCCTTTTGCCTCTTCACAAACTTGGCAAAGGCTGAACGTCGACTCTCATCATCGTCTAGGGCCTTGTACTCTGGGAGGTTCTCAATGAAGGGGACAGCCTGCATAAGGATTAAATTAATATCTGATGTCAAGGGAGGGCCACGAAAGACGCACGGCTTCATAGGACAATGTGATGTCAAGCGGCTCGGGAAGCTTCTTCATCGCGTAGCGAAGATCATCTTGTAGGTGCCTCTGCCTTCTCTCTGTGCGGCGCTTCTCTTCATTCTGCTTCTTCACGACTTGATCGTGGATCTACCAGACTCATAAGCACTCTCGTCATTTACACACAGAAAAGTAACACACCGTGTCATACACCTCGCGCAAATCATCCTCCCCGAGCTTGCCTACGCTGTCAGGGTCCCTCCTTATGCGAGCCTTGAACTCTTCGAATGTCGTCTGTACGGTCACCACGCTCACGGATTCTTTATCCTTATCGTTCTTCACTACGTCCATGACATTGGGGTCATCGCCACGCCTGGCACACTCCTCAGCAATAGTGATCTTAGCATCGAGCCTCTGGTCAAGTGCGTCGATAGCATCCCAGAAAAGTTCCAAGGGATTCGATCCAGGCTTGCCGAGCATATTGAGGTATCGCTGATCAGAAGCAAAAGTTGGGTAAACATGACGCCATTTGCTGCGCGCCTTGATTTTTCCAGTAGCCACAAGATCTTGCAGCAATCCCCTGAACGCCTCTCTGGCTTTGCGCTCCTCACGTGTCTTCTCAACTTGGGCGCGGCGCATGTGCTCCTCAAACTCACGTTCTTTGACACGCGAGTAATCTTCGAATGCAAGGAGGATATCTAGCGTAGGAAGCTTACGCAGCTCAGAATCAGCTTGCCAGTCGAGGGACTCAGTGACCATTTCGTGGGCCTTGCGCCAACGTGTGAGGACATTCACATCGAGTTCTTTGAAAAGAGACACGACTTTGGAGATTGCGCGCGTACGCGCAGCACGGGTTTCTTGCTGTGGATGTGAGTGTGAGTCAGGTTGTATTCATGATCAGGAGAATAAACAAGAACGCACCACTTCGCGCTGCTTGAGCTCCGCGACGTACTCCTCAAATATGAGCTTTCGCTCAGCCTCGATACGAGCTAGTTGCCAGATGGGATGCTGCGAGAACAATTTATCCGCAGTAGCGAATGTAGTGTAATGAAACACATTCGGATTGCCCTTGAGCATGTTACGTATAGCTGGGCGGAGCTTGGAAAGCCGTGCTTCACGCTCTTCTTCTTCCTTCTGACGCAAACCGTCTGTGTACTGGGCATGCCACAACAATTAAGTAATACAATATACCGTGAACGAAGGAAACGCACCTTCTGCCAAGTTGCTTTCTTCTCGGCTAAAGAGTTCAAAGCCTTATATAATGGATCCGTGATGATGGTACGCATAGTCTGGTCCCATGTCCAGTCCGCATCGACACCCGCCTTGCGCAAGAGATGCATAAAAGCTTTCTCACCCTCCTCAAAGGTGGCGAAACCATTGTGAGGAATGGTAGGGTCATCTGGAAGGTTCGGCCTTGCGGGAAGAACGCCTGTGTTACTGAAGGGGAGCGAGGCAGAGCCTGCAGTGGCTACGGTGCCGTCAGGCTGCGCTGGGGCTGTCGCAGCATGAATTGGAGCAGACGAAGTGCTGTATTGAATGATAAGGAGAAAGGGCAGGTAAATAGGCTAGGGACATACGGAATGGAACCAGCGACGACAAGTTGGCTGTTTTGTTTCTCCTTCTCGACTTTTTCAAGGAGCAGGAGCAGCTCGTCTGGCATGTCCCATTTTGATTCTTTGGATTCGGTCTGCTCAAGTAGATTAGATACTGATGAGAAATATCTTCATCGTTGGACGCACATTGTAATAATACTTTCTGCCTCCGGAGAAGTATTCTTTCCATTTTGTCTCCCCGAGAGCTTTCTGGAGGGACAGGCTATTATGAGTACACAGCTAGAGGGAAAAAATGTTAAATTACCTCAAATGGAGTCTTCAAGTCTAAACAGTTCACAATTAGCGCAGGACAGGACAGACAAAACTTCGATGCGCACCGTCTGGCTTCTCCCAGACACTTTCACGAGTGCCAGTATTGAACCAGTATGTCCTTCCTTCTGGATTTCGATGTTCAGTCTATTCCACCTAGTCAGTATCCTTTCTATGAGAAGCGATGGCGACGAAACTTACCCACATACTTTGCAAAATGGCAAGCTATCGACCAAAGTAATATTTGATCTCATACCAAGTTCTTCAAAGTCCGACTCGCGTGATTAGTCATCACACAGGCGCTTAAAGTTGGCTATCCGCCACTAGACCACACGTATTACCTAAGTGACCAACCATGGTGCGCCCATTTACTCAATCCCAACATAGCTCCCACCCATTCACATCCAGTCATCCCGTATCGAACTACTTAATGCTGGTCTTCTTCGCAGCGACGGTCGCAGACCTTATGAACTACGAACACTAGCCATCAACTTCGCACCACAAGGAACAGCAGATGGCAGCGTCACCTACTCACACGGCCTCACTCAAGTACGCGTCTCAGTCCTCGGTCCACACGAACCAAAACCAGGAACAAGACGCGAGACATTCCACGACCGTGCAACACTAAACGTCGAAGTCCAACTCGCCCCTTTTGGCATCGGTGAACGAAGAAGAAGAGGCAGGGGCGACAAGTAAATATATCACCTATACCAACACTTCATTACATCGCTAATACCACTCAGGCGTCTCCTTGAACTCGCAGCATCAATCAAAAGCACATTCGAACCAGTCGTACAAACCCATCTCTATCCACGCAGTGCAATCGATATCTTTGTACATGTCCTGCAGCTCGATGGCGGCCTCCTCCCCGCTTGCATAAATGCCTCCACCCTCGCTCTAGCAGCCGCAGGCATCCCCCTCTTTGACTTTGTCTGCGCCATCGGCGGCGGCGTGCATGGCACCCAACCCTTACTTGATCTAACTACAGTCGAAGAAAATGATGTTCCGAGCGTCGTGGTAGGGGTGATGCCTCGTACAGGACGCGTGACGCTCGTCCAGATGGAGACCAGGCTGCATATGGATCGCTTTGAGGAGGTTTTCAAAGTTGCGTGTGATGCAGGTAAGGTATTATGGAGTGAGATGAGGGATGCTCTCAGGGAACGGACGGGGGATTTGGTGGATAAACTTGGGGCTGGACCCGGAATGATTGTGGCGAAGGAGACTGAAGAGACGTAGGATTGATTACGACGACTATCTGTAAGTCGGAGCTTGTGATTAGAGATACTTGATAACGAATGACAGGCCCACTAGTCCTGACACGGACGTTCACAGCACGGAGCATTTGATCCCGTGGAACCAATTCGCGTCCAACCCACCTGCGTGCTCCACCTGCGCGCCACCTGCACGATCTTTGTGTACAACACTACACGCAGAGATTTATCTTTCATGTCGCATGCTAGCTTGTAAAGTACCACTATGGATTCAATATCATATGATATCAGATGCAGGAAACAATGCATCAATGGAAGCCCACAATCCCCTAGAATTGTACTACCAGATCAAACGCGGATAACGCGGATACTTTGATTCTTTATCTGCTGTAGGAAGACCACTTCGTTTCGCAAATTAATACCCCATGCTCATGTGGTCACGAATTCGAAGTAATGTACCAATTTCATTATTCATACGCCGCTTGGTTATGGTCAGGCGAGCTCACAGAAGGCGGCCAGGCCTTATTGGGTGTGCAGTATAAAGACCCTTCATGCGTGATCGTTTTCCCTAACGTTGAACCTGTCGCGATCATCTATCATGTCCAGGTAAGATGTGTCAAGTGTTTATTTATCTAGAAATGTTGCATGAAACGGAAGCTGAGTTTTCCCATAGTTCCCAATTCCCAGCTCAATCGGCGTCTCCTCTCGGTAAACTTGGTGTCGAGGCTGCCCTAGAGGCTGCTGCAGACCCATCCATCACACCAAAGCCCAAGATCTTCGATGAGTTCGCGCTAACCGACCGCGTTGGGCTTGTCTCCGGCGGAAATAGGGGCCTTGGCTTGGAGATGGCTCTTGCATGTTGCGAGGCTGGTGCACGTGTCGTATATTGCTTCTATCTTCCAGAAGAGCCATCAGATGAATGGATCGCAAGCAGAGATTACGTCGTGAAGCTAGGGAATAACTCGCGGCTGGAGTATTTCAGCGAGACCGTCACTGATCAGCAGGCGCTTTGGAAAAAGACAGAGGAGATTGGTGATAAAGAGGGAAGAATGGACTTTTGCATCGCTGCGGCTGGTATTCTTAGGTCACCCATAGACTGTCTGGAATACCCGGCAGAGGAGTACAGAGAGGTGGGTGATTATTGACTAGTTGCTTTCCACCGACCGACAGTTTTTGAAATCAACCCCGTGTGAAGGTCCTGGATGTCAACGCCAGTGGTGTCCTCTTCACTGCGCAGGCTGCTGGTAGACAGATGTCGCGATTCGGATGCGGTGGCAGTATTATTCTTATCGCATCAATGTCGGGCAGTGTCACTAACAGGGTGCGCATCGCCCAAAAACTGTTATGGCCATGTTTGCATACTGACCCTGTATAGGGCCACGCCTGGGTATCGTACAACACCTCCAAATCAGCTGTCCTGCAGATGGCTCGCAGCATGGCTTGCGAGCTTGGCGAAAAGAAGATTCGCGTCAACTCGTTGTCTCCAGGATATATGTACACCAGGTTTGTCTCGCGATTAATTGCATTGCAGTGCTAAATCATGATGGCTGTGATAGTATGACTAGAGCATATCTGGACAAATAACCGCACCTTCTCGATGTGTGGTCTAATATGAACCCTGTGGGTCGATTCGGACGCCCTAACGAGTTGCGCGGTGTAGTGACGTGGTTGGTATCTGATGCATCGACATTCTGTACGGGTAGCGAGTGCGTCGACTTCCTTGTATTTCTTTGCTTAGCAGTGAAGCTAACTGTAAAATTCGCAGTATTGTCGTCAGCGGTGGTCTTCACTCCTGGTAATGGAGCACTCGAGGAGGAAGGGCGAGTCCGTCCAATCATGAGGTCCATCATGACCCGCCTCGCATGTGTACATTGTACTTCAATTGAAGAAAATGTGTTACATAGACCAAAATTTCAAAGCAGAAAGCCATATCCATGGGACGTTTACACTTGACCTACATGTTATACCACAATCACGATTCCTCTGCTACTGTAAGTTAGTCTTTCAGGATTTCGAGGTGATCTCCACAGACGAACCTAACACAGTGAGGTGCACTAGTGTCTTCACGGACGCATCAGGGAATCGCGGGACAATGCAGCAGGGAAATATCTCCGGATTACTGAAATAAGACATTAGCAGACTACTCTTGGGAGCATGCAATTATGCACACATTACGAAACCAGTGCTGAACTTTGGAGTAACTGGAATTTCCATGCCGCGTTCGTCGCGAGCTTTATGGGCCGAGAAAAAGGCCAGAAAATTCACGATCGCTATCCAGAAACATGAAATGGATACCAGAAAGGCATCCTCAGGATCTGTGCTGCTGGAGATATGTGATGGTGGTGCTCATGAAAAATCGGCATACATTCATGGATTGACGATATTGCTTCCACTCACGAAGAGTCTAACTTGGTGGACGTCGGGATCCTCAGACAAGAAGCTAAAGGTGCAGCTGTGCCGTGTCCTCCTGCTAAGCTCTGACCAGTCATCAGGCCTTCAGGTTTGACTCGTGAGCGACCGCCTTCCTTCGTCTGAGGATTTCCCGAGGAAGACTATGTTGTCGTCATAGACGATTTCCAGCGAGGTTAGCCAATAAGGTACCACATTCAAAAACTATTTTCCGAAGCGTGGCTGGAAGTTCCAGCTCAGTGAGGAGCGTTCCCGTTTTTAACAGTGTCTGTTAGTCCAGGTACATTGACGAGTATAGTTTTGCTCTGGGTGCTACATACCGACAGGAGGGTGCGTTGTGGTAGATATCGCACCGGGCAAAGTTGAGCCAGAGGAACATTCTGACCCAGAATGACACAAATTATTTTGGAAGAACGATTGGCAGATGTTCCATCCATACTTAGAACAGCGTTCTAAATTAAGCGAAGTACATCGGCCGAGACAATAGTGTCATTTCGACTTGCCTTGAGATCTAGACACTTAGGCCTAGGAGCGATGCTTTTGGGATAGTTCAATACGCGTGCACACTCATGCCCATTTAGGTTTCACATCGCATGCAACATAATGCATAACCGGTTAAACCAGTCAGGCCGCCTCGAAGTGGTAATCTCGCTCTAACTAAGGAGTATTCAGACCACCCCATGATGTGCCCATCCAAGGCATTATCATCCCTACCCACTGTATTTGTACCTGACCAAAAAAATCAGTTCTGCCGTGTGATGAACTAGCTTGCATAGAAACTGACCAGTTTGTTCTGTTTGATTCATGATGAATAGATGAATGACCGAAAATATTATTATGCCATACCTTGCAATGACTGCCTCCTTCCTCACCGCACGCTTAGGGTCATCCAAAACCTTTGCTAATTCCTTCAATACACGCGTCTTGTAAGGATGCAGTAAATCATATCGCACAGTGCCTGGCAGCAATGCCAGGTATTTGAGCGCCGCTACGCGTACTCCCTTTGGCCATTCAGTAGTCCGAGCAAAATCAATGAACACGTGAACGACGCACAGGATCAGGCATTTCCGAACACATGCAATTTTTAAGCATGGCAAGCACGAGAGTCGACGCATACATCGAGACAGCGTCCTTATCAGCGGATGTAACATCGATATTGTTAGACAACGTGTTAATAATGTGTGAACGAATGGATGGGTCAACGAGGTCGAGTCCGCGTAGTAAAATAGGCATCAGCTAAGGGAACGCCGTCAGCAAACCAACCAATATGCTTTAGTCAAATAAAATGACGACTAACTGAGGGCATCTGACTAGCGTAGATTGCCTTCGGTACAGCATTGATGAGGTACGCCAAAGCAACCAAATATGATGTCTCTCTTCGCGATCCTTGCGAATAGGAAGTGTGTTAGATTATATGGAGTATGAACACTCTACACACCCTTGGCTCCTTCTAACAACCGCGGCATCACTACATTGAAGTACTTCTGCACGTGTAGAATCTAAAAATACGCAGTTTTTTTAGGATGATTCTGCTAGGTTTCCTTTGCATACCTTAAGAACAGCATCATTGCGTTTCGTCAATATGACATCCTCGCTTGCAAGCAAACCGATCGCTCGCGCTGCATCCCAGTCGACTGTGTTGTCATCCAAAAGCTCGAACAAGTGATTAATGAATGCATTTGCAGAGGGATGAGAGCGAACAAGGAGCGCCCTTGTAATCTGGAGAGAAAAATCAGGGCAAATAAGGTGCGAGCTAGAAGGCGAGTACAGATATCCAGGTACTGATTGCGTTCTTGCGTGCTTCTGCCGGGATACTTGTGTTTTTGAGGGCTGATGACGAGTAACCCTCCAGCTGGGATGTCAGAAAGTCAGATGCATCTGAAGAGAAGTGATCAGTCCGATTACAATGAACATATGTGATAAATCACCATCAACATGCTTATTAACATTGGATGCAAGAACATGAGATGCAGCTTCTCGTTGTAATATTGTACTGGATGGGCTATCACTCCACGCGACCAGTTCGGAGAGGAAAGTGGATAGATTGTCGACAGGCATCCGAACCTTGAAGCGGCATTAACAAAAGCACCGAAATTCAGGTTGAAAAGCGGCATACCTCCTTGCGTAATGATACAATGGTAGAAGAGAAAAGAGTGAAACTGTTCCGTTGTCGGGGACTGGCATTGAGCTAGGATCGGAGTCAATGTGACGTACATAAGGGGAATGTGAGTGTTGCACTCACATGGAGAGGTGCGAATGGTATGGCTGAGTTTAAGAGACCACCAGTAATCAGCTTCACGTCACCTTGCGTATAGGCGGCAAACACAGCGGCAACAAGCTTTTCTTGCCCCCTGCTACCTTTATCAATGGTGTTCACTCAGAGATAAGACAAAGACTCACGCAACAGTCAAGGTCTGACTCACGAGCCTGATAATCCTCGCCCCAACTTGCAGCAGCCTTGGATCTGCAGCGATAGCCACCACCTCCGAGCTCGCTAGCGCAGCATCCAAGTACAATCTGAACATGTGCGGCAGTAGCTGCTCGGCGTACTTGGGGACATCTACGTCTTTCGAAGAGACTTTGACGTCGAGTGTATTTGCGAGTGCCGTGAGGATAGCATGGGCATACGCAGCTGTACTTTCCTGGTCAATCGTCCTAGATGACAAGATTGCACAAAGGATATCAAGTTTGGCGATGAGCCTGACAACTAATGTCTCAAAAAGTTGTGGTTGTACACAAAGGGCACTGAGGGACGAAAGGGCGCGCCAGTAAGATGCGCGCTGCGTGATGGCATCCCTTGATGGAGCAACATCTGGGAGGAAGGAAAAAAGGATTGGGAGCGTCTGCGATGACAGATGGTGCGGGGCAATACCAGCGATGGTAGAGAGAAGCGCGAGGGTGTCCATACTGAAACCATGAACCTCAGTAACTCATCGTAGATGGAGAGAAAAATGTTCATACGTCACGTCTTCTACTTCATCAGGCTCCTTGCGTAGTAGTTCGCTGACCTCAAGCACTATGTACCCAAGCTCATCATCAGCTACTAATTTAGGAGTGCGCACAAGTGCGTTTAGACCATGCAGTGCTGGCAGGCATGTCGCAGGTCCTTTCAAGCTGACAATGAGGAGCCCAAGGAGGGGATCCTTCGAGGCAGCGAGTGGGGATAATGTTGACTGAGAAGATTGAGAAACGGAGGCATGCGTAACATCACCCCGGCAGGCTTCAATCAACTCTGTGAGTAATATAACCACTGACGCCCGGTTTGATACCTCATCTGGGTCATGGAAATTTCTGATGAGAAGCTCAGCAGCTTGCGAGACTGCAAAACTGGAAAGTGGTCCTGATGAATGAAGACTGTTGAGATCCAGCTTGTACCATTGTACAACGCTTACCATTAGCTCGGGCAAAGGCACATATGACCTTCATTGCAGCTCTTGCTTGGGATTTCTCAGGCTCCTTCAACGTTTGTATGCACTCGCTACACATGTCTTGTGCGAGGCTCGTGATGGAGTCCTCACCTACTGCGTCTTGGGATTTATCAGCATGCATGGTTCTAAGAAGGAACTGAAATGTATTGAGGGCTGAATGTTCGGTATCTGGATCAGTTGGTTGAAAAATCTGATTCCACGTAATGTTATACTCAAGATTCCAGGGGATAAAATCTTACTTCGATTTTCAGAGAGCTCCAAATTTTCTTCCCCAACTCGCGCGCCACAACAGGTCCGTAGACCGGAAGACAGGTATCCATTGCATGTAGAGTATCTCGCTGCCGATGGATTATTAGATTAATATTTAAATATCACAAGTGCAGCAGTGACCTTGGTTGAGGGTGATCCAGCAGTAAGCTTTTCCAGAAAGACTGGAATTCCAAGGAGCCCGAAGGCTGGAGTTGCGCACAGACAGAGTCTGCAGCAGCATTAGAAAATGGAAGACACAGTGTGTAAGACCTTATCGCACCGAAGAGACTGCTTCAGATCATCTGCACTGATGCCATAAGGATCATCGGGTGGTGGTCGGAATGTGATGGGAAAGTAGCAGAATGTTATGTCAAAGAAATCCTATGTACGACGGTTGGACGTGGAGCAGATGGCATAACAGCGAACCGTACCTCAGTGTGAGCAAGAGTGTCGAATTCTGCCAGCACAACTCGAGCAATGGCAAATGCCAACATGAGATTTCGAGGGTCTTTCTCTCCGACTGCAAGGTTCACATATCCCGCAAGGAAAGCACTTCCCATCTCCTTGAGGGTGTCTCGATGGCTAGCGATCAGAGAATTGACGATTGAAAAGACGAAGAAGCGAGTGGACTGCACAAGGGCTCTCATTTTGACATTGGCAAATATACTAGGCGATATTAAAAGTAACGGAAATGCACGACAATTCAAGTACGTACGCGTTGATAATATCCTTCACCTCGGCCGACTGTATGTTAGGAAACTTGACAAGGTAAGAGAGACCGTTGAGTGCAGGGATGATGGTCTCAAGATCTTCAAGCTTGCTGCAATAAAACGTGGTGAGTACACGAACTATTAAAGGCGGTGAGTAGAATTAATTCATCCTTGAGGTGACCTGTACTTACTAGCCTGGCGATTGAGCTTTTCGTGTGGACATCGTCCAAGAACAGATGAGAGAAACTCGACACCTGCAATGACTAAGAACAAGAACACCGACAAGTGAGTGACATGTTCACCTTTCGTCCGCAAGCGGTCCTCCTTAGATGTTAAGAATTCACCAAGAGCCTTTATAATATCCAACAAAGTTAATTGACCACTTGATATTCCTGAAGAATTCATTTAAATTTTGATATCGCCTTGCAACGAAATGTGTACCAGCAACGCTCTCATCGACCTCGGAGTCCTTCTCTGATGCCATCCAGGAGCGAACCAAACGCTCCGCTGTAGTCATTTTCGCCGAACTGTGGTACCAGCCGATACCGGAAGGCAGTGGCAGTTGAAGGAGATTAGAATCATTACTAGATTCGAAAAGGAAAGTGGAAGCTCAACAAATCAACATCAGCGCATATTGTCACACGGAAATTCTGTCTGATCGTGTTTCGGTTGAAGCTCTTGAAGGTGACTGTATGCATATAGCGCCAGCTGTATTTTCACCAAGTTTAACTAGCAAATGCTTCGCAGCATACTCTCATGTAATCATCGATGCTGTCCACGACAAACTCACCTCAAGGTCTACTTCTCTTCGACGGCGCTGACAGCGAACGATAAGCCGCCCTCGAAACACAATGACAAAATTAACTATAACCCGGATATCTCTTTCTCTACCACTGTCGACCCGAAATATCTCAAGTACCCAATGCTTTCGTCGCATGACCTAGAGTCTCATCGTAAACCACCAACCAGAGTACGGATGCTAGTCCGAGATTTCATAGAAGATTCATTGTACAATCCGCACTACGGCTATTTCAGCAAGCGCGCCACGATTTTCACTGCACCTCCGCATTGCGGTGGCGTTGAGGGAGGCTTTGATTTTAATAAGTATAGAGACAGTGTTGAGTTTGAAGTCGACGTTGCAAAGAGGTACGGGGAATTTGGCAATGGAGAAGAGGACGGTCCTGGGAGGCAACTCTGGCACACTCCGACAGAATTGTTCAAGGTGGGCAACCCTGTTTTTCGTGTTATTGGCACAGACAGCTAAAATGTCCTACAGCCATGGTATGGACAGGCGATAGCTCAGTGCCTAGTGTCCGAGTACCTGCTCAAATACTTCCCTTACGAAGATTTCAAGGTCTACGAACTGGGAGCCGGCAATGGCACGCTGGCGCTGAATATCTTGGATTTTCTAAAGACGCACTACCCAGATGTTTATGACCGCACACAGTATACGATCATTGAGATTAGCGAGAAGTTGGCACGGGCACAACGGCACCATCTACATCAACGGGGCCATGGCCAGGTCGTGGACGTGGTGAACCAGAGCGTTTTCCAGTGGCAACGCAAGGAACATGCTCCATGTTATGTGGTAGCAGCGGAGGTGGTCGACAATTTTGCACACGATGTAGTGCGGTATGATCTAAAGACCCTGGAGGCATATCAGGGAGTCGTAGCTGTGGACGAAGTGGGCGATTTCGTACCGTTTTACACGAAGATCAGTGATCCGCTCATCGCTTCTTATCTTGCGCTGCGTCGGCGGCTGTCACTTCCAGTCCCGCTACCCCGATTCCTCCGTTCGCCAACTTTGCGGAAATTGTACGCATCTTTACCATTCGCACCAAACCTTTCACCCCCAGATTACATCCCGACGAGACTGTTGAGCCTACTGAAGATACTACGTACGCACTTTCCTCGCCACCGGCTTTTATTGTCAGACTTTTCATCGCTACCGGATGCGGTGCCAGGCTTAAACGCCCCTGTAGTACAAACGCGCGTTGGCACGACCATGATTCCTTGTGGGACTGTCTTCGTGCAGCAAGGCTGGTTCGACATTATGTTCCCGACGGACTTTACTGCTCTTCGCGAGATGTACGAGTTCTTGTTATCACAGGCGGGGCCCGACGCGGATGAACAGGACGAACTCTCGTATGCAAGAGTGTCGCCGTTGACATCGAGCACATCTCCCCTTTCGCTTGGAGCCGATTTCTTTTCATCCCGTGCTCGCCGCTCACCTCTGGATGGCGTGACGTCTGCGAGTGGGCTTCCCGTTGGTGAGCGGAAGAGCAGTGTGTTCAGTCATGCAGAATATCTGGAGACATATGCAGACCTTGAGAAGACGAGGCTGGTGAATGGGGAGAATCCAATGATTGGGTTTTATGAAAATGTAAAGGTGTTATTTTAATGGCGTTGTTAATGAATTTTGCATCATGATTCAGAAGATTGTCCAATTGGGTAATTTTCGTTATCTGGGCCACGTGGCGGCCAATATGCACTAGGCTATCTGAGTGTGCAAATGATACAATATCATCGACCACCATCTATCACCGGTCACCGATCACCCCCTTCATGGACCCACACTGGTTTGACGGTGTTGCTAGTGCACGGCAAGCACTTTGCTACTCTGAACAGACCAGAAATGATGCTAGTGCAAGAGCAATCCAGTTTGCGGTAGCATCCGTATCGCGAATTATCTAGAATATTCGGGCAAAGTTACCACATAAAACGTTGCCAATCTAACTGTTACTGAACCTGATACACAACGCATTTCCCCGTCCCTGATGGCATTGTACAGGGGCTAAGTTATCGTAAGGCAAATCATACAGAAGTGCATCGCCGCCGATCCAACTTGTAGTCCAAAGTATGATATAAAATTAAGAGTTTGTAATCACTCCTGCAAATTAAATACTTGACGGATTCGATTGGTATAATCGTATGAATTAGATCCTCGAGGACCAATCGCAGTGACAACATTTGAACGGTCCCCTGTCATGTGGTGCATGTAATAAGCCAAAGGCGTGGTAGAATGTGAACTCTCCCGAATATCAGCAAGCTTTAACGCCGTATCCAGTCCAAGTTTCTGTACATCTTCGAGTCCAACGGGCTCTTCTCTCCTTGCCAGTTGCAGCAGACCAGAGACCAGCCATTCTGTGATCCCATAATCTTGAGCAAGAGCAACTTTGTCTAGAGGTCTCATAGCGAGCATAGGCTCCATCTGTTCAATGGCGAATTCCTGAACGCGGGTGAAGCTCCACATTTTGGATAGCTTCAATATGCCTATCCACTCCTCGAGGGTGGCATCCGGGGAAGCTGATAAACGGGTAAATGGCCTTACAAAGGAAAAACGCCATCAGGATCCAAGTCACAAATTCGTGAAGCGATTCTCATTGATACTCACATGGGATATAAAACCTTCATGAGGGACTGGAACTCTTCCCTCTGAATGCCCTCGAGAACGATAGGATTTGTGTCTGAGTAACCCTCAGCTCCGTCGGCTTGAACAGGTAGTAGAAACAAATCGCGAAAGACGTCTGACTGCGACTCTAGGGTGTCGCGAGGCACTCTGAATAAGTGGTCCTCAACCTGGCGCAGACAGAGTGAGCACTGAGCTGCTGCATGCCAGCCGCTGCCCAATAACAACTCACCAGAAATGTGATGAAAGTGAAGTAAAATTGTTCATTGTGTTTGGGAGTAGGCATTGCAAGTTGATATCAGCCTGGTGGATCGTGATGATAAGAGTGAACGTTAGCGCTCAGTGACATTTTGTGCGAGGTACAAGTATTATCGGCGCTAGTCAGGGGTTTGTATCTTACATAACTCTACTAATCTATTGTTGACACGGTGGCGGGTGGGTGCAGGTAGGTGCTCAGTACGGTACATATAAGCACATCTCCCGTATCTAGGCGTCATGATATGGGAAATATAATCAAGCAGATAGATTTGTAATCCTTCGATCAGGAAACATCATAGCATCCGCAAGGTGTACATGTAATAATGGAAAGATTCTCCCAGTTGGTTGATCTCAAGTGAAGTATCTCGTGTTATATGAGGACCAGTGAGATATCGTCTTCGGAAGTGAGGTTGTCCGAAGGTAATGTAGATGAAGATGCCATTGCGCTTAAGTACACTACCAGTCCCTGTGAGACCAGAAGGTATGAAGATATGAAGGAACTAACCGTATGACTTGAGATACTTCTGCCGTGCAGTCTTTGATTACTTGCTCTGGTGGATCCTGTGAAACAACGAATCTTCTCAGTACGTTGTATGTTGCTATGATGATTGAACATACCCAGACGTCGGTTGAAGACGTCATCATTGCATCCATTGTTCCTGGGACCGGAAAGCGTGAGATTTCGAAAAACAGGAACTAAAATTCATTACGTACCTTTATCGATGGCGACATCGAAGGATGAGGTATCTAGACCGTCTAGAGTCCGGACGTCCTTCACTTCCCCTATTAAAGGGTTAATGTGTTTTCAGTGGGTTCTGAGGAAATAAATACATGTCATCTCTGGGCGCGCATCTTTATGCCGGTTGCGCATCTTCTCGATCACAACGGGCGAATACTTTGAGAGAAATATGAGGTGAATCAAGACCATCGCAGCGAGAAGCGTACATCAACGTTCACAATGTTTTTGTACCCGTCTTCCCACATCTGTTCGCACGACGGTGTCAGTCGCAAGACGACATATGCAAGAGGAAATATTTACATCCTCTGAAAACTTTGAATTTCCACAACCGAGCATTAGGATGCGTGCATCTCTACTGGGGATGAACTTGCGGATGTCATGCGCAACATCCGCGTAGGTCTTGAACCAGTCAAAAGAGGCATCCTCAGCTTCTCTAATCATCTACGGTATCTCATCACTCATCAAGTGAGCAGACGAAGACATACTGCTCGTATCTCTTGTCCCTTTAATGAGTTTTTTTGTAAATAAATAGTCTCTGAAACAGATACTACTCACCAGTACACTTCGGTACCATACTCTTCATTCTTGTGGGGAAGGGACATGTTGATATCCGACTGCTGAAGCTGGGGCCTGCGCTAGTCAAAAATCAATTGATGTTATTTCCAGCTCCGAATCCGTCGATAGCGAACTCGATACCAACGCCGCGGAGTTTTATGTCAGCCGAAAGGATGGTCGGACGGACGGCGGACCTACTATCCCTTCCAAGTTCCGGCACCCCACACAGAAGTCGGCACTGTCACAAAAATCATATCTAGATCCTTAAATTCTTGACATATATATCATTATATATAAGGTTGCTACTACAATTAATGTCAAATTTAAGCAGAATTGAGTGAGATACTAAGTTGAAAGCGCCGAAGTCACGCAGAAATTTCACTTGCCGATATGTACCATATCGTACGGATTGCAAGTGCACATATATATAGTGCCAGGTACAACGCTACTGGATATTTTCAATGCTGCCATGTGACGGTTCCATTGCATCATCAACATAACGTCATGGACAGCCTCATCCATATGATCCAAGTCTCACAGTGCAGTGTGCACCACACATCCCCTTCCAAAATTTACCACAGCACTAATGGTCACCCTCGCACTTAAGTAGACATATCTGGTAGTAAATGCTGTACTTGCTCGAATGCTGACTGAACTTGCGCTCTTGCTTGACTAGGCAGAGCTTAATTTGATAATTTGAAACCGGCCTAGGACATACTATGACTCACAGTACTAGTGACGACTGCACCGGAAGGGATAGTATACTGTGCAGTTCGAAACGTTATCGTAGCTTTAAAAGCCATTCATGAAACATGTTCATTTCAGTCTTATATGTATGAGAAGCAAAATCAAGATAGTAATGAATTATCTGTGTTGTGGACAGAAAACCCCGTAACTGTCTGCTACTACAATTCAAGATTCGAGCTACAGTTTCATGTTCGATTATTTCTTGGTATGCTGGAGAGAAAGTCAGGATACCAAGAAGACATTACGTTCGTGTGATGTTGCATGTGCACCAAAACACAGGATAAAATGATCAGGATTCGTTCCATGACACAAAAAAGGCCGTCACGATGCGTCAGCAATGCTGGGCATCCTCTCAATCGCGGAATTGCGGAATGAGGATTTGTCTTGCATGGAGTCTGTGGTTGCATCATTAAAATGAGCTATGAAGAGGATGGAGAGACCACACCGTTATTAGATTTATACTCCATGATGGTCGATGGAGGAAGGTTGAGCACAGCGCGCAAGGTGTCCCTACCACAGCAATCAGACCGTTTAAATTACGAGAAAAAAATGCAAAAGACGCACCGAATCTTCTCCCGCACTTTGGCATCCCCATCGACGCGATTCCACAAGCTCACAATATCCTCACTCTGACGCACGCTGATGGTGCAACCACAAATTTCTGGCCACCCCCCTTCTTCCCCTTCCCCCTGTGTGCCACATTCATCAAACATGTCACCAACGACACCCATAACAAGGTCCTCCCATACCCTGTCTGCTACTCCCTTGCGCAATCGTATGATCCACTTTCCACCAGTACGATTCAGGGGGTCTTCCCACACGGGCCTGCGAACACCTGCATGGAACAGAAGGTAGTCCGTAGTGGGCAGGAGTGCAGAGGGGCGTGAAAGGTGCGTTTGAAGGCCCCAAAAAGATTCAACGCTGGAAAAAGAAGCAATCTTTTTGATGCCTTCTTCGTAATTGGTGATTTTATTTCCCGGAGCGCGCTGTTGTCGGAACCAGAAGACCCACCTAGTGAAACAGACATAAGTCACGGATGAGAATGAGAAGGAAGCCACGAACATACGTATTCCGGAGAGGGTGGACGGCCAGCGGTGCAGGAACATCGACACCCCGGTCGCGCTCCTCGTGTGGCGGGTGTGCGACGGAAGTGGAGAAATGCCTGCTTGTAGGGGGTCGCGGACGCGTCTCTGCTGGGATGGCAGGTGTGGTAGTAGCTGTAGTTGTGGTGGTGTTAGATGCTGCGTTTGCAAAGCGAGTCTGGAATTGCGAATGGTTGGAGAAGTAGCCAGCCATTGTGAATAGGATAAATAGATGAATAAAATTGCGAGAGAACAAAGAGATCTTGGATGTTAATGGAGTATGGAGTACCAGGATCGGCCACTAGAAGCAGAAAGAGAGGACGTTCGGTGAGTATCAGTGAGTATGGACAGACAAAGTATGAACAAGATGGTATCGTAGGCCCGAGTGATTGAGAAAAGCAAAGGATAATAGGATTAGTAAGCCGTAGTCTTGTCTGTCCTTTCATCTCAACCACTACCACAAAATCTAGAACTTCTGGGCCATAACGGCTAGGCAACCACAAAGCACTCATAGACAAGTACTTGCGTAGAATTCGATTCGATCATTCAAGACACCATCGCATTATTAATACGCGTCCGCATCCTCTATAGACTCACTATACCATCCTGTCAAGATCTGAGCGGCACCATGTCGCACGCCAGACACCAGTCCTCGTCGCCACGTAAGTCAATGCGGGCGTCTGAACCGCTCTCGTCCCTGGATCAGACTATGCCAAATGGGGCACATTCACTGGCACATGAACTCGCTGTTGCACTAATGCCTGAGCCTGGAGGCGGGTCCCGAATGCTGGCGGAAGAGTTTGGGATTGAGTACGATGAAGGCGCAGAAGGCATTGATGAAAATGACTGCGTACGTGGAAATGAGGAGCGTGAAGTGCACGTAGCAGGGGACAGTCGTGCGAACGAGATTGGAAGTAGCCTAGCTGATGAGATGGGGGCCTCTAATTTGGCGGACGAACTAGGCGGGAGTGGGAGCGCTGATGAGGACGCCGATGAAGATGTTGAAGACAGTCTAGATGAGGATGATGGAGATGACTCGCTTATACCAAGAAGACCAGAGCAAGATGCCATGGAGATTCTTGCACAGAATCTTGCTTCAACAGATCAATTCCTTGCACATCTACGCGCCGTCGATGCTATACCTACTTTATCCTCCGCACACATCTCGGATACTGCTCCAAGCGCACACGTCCTGGAAAGACTGGCATCGGACATGATCCGTGCTATTAACGAGGCCACAAAAGAGAGGGAAAGTCAAGTGCGCGAGCTCATTGCCTATGAGCGCGAATTCCGCCGGCTTTCCACCGAGGTCGGTGGAAATGATGTCCTTTGTGAGTTGGATGACATTGACGAGGGCGAGAGCGACAGCGGACATGCGCCGACGAAGTTAGATACCGTCGCCGAGGAAGACGAGCTTGACTCATCTTATGCACCATCCTTACCTTCGTCGCCCCAAAAGCCCTCTTTCGCTGCACCCCAACCCTCCAGTGCTGCTGCACCGCTGCCGCACCTGGTGCAACTTAGAACACATACAGCGGCCCTACTCTCATCCCTCACGACGATATCAGAGCAGGCGCAGGTGAATGGAGCCGCTACAGCAGATTCAGGTCGGCGGATTCGTGCGCTGAAGAACCGTTTTGGTGGATTACGCGGGGAGTGGGAAGGCGCGGAGCGCAGCCGTGGACGTATTGAGCGATGGGAGCGGGAAGGCGCATATCTCAACTGCAGAAGAGTTGCTGAGGAACACATGATTGCATTCCAACAGGCCATAGATGAGGCGGGGGTTAAGACACAGGCGATTATGGCGCGATAGATGGTATGATATAGAATGGACTTGACTACGCTGGAGGATCGCTACATATCTATTCACATTCACTCATTACAGTATTATACCAGTACATCATTTATTGTATGTAGGACTGACTAGTCCGACGTCGGTCACTTCGTTCCGGAAGACATGTAAGAGTTACACCAAAGTGGATATGCGGACGTGTCAAGTGAATTTTCAAGGATTTCAACATGATACAATTATGCAATGCTCGGAGAACCCGCAATCACTTTTAGCACCGAGATATAACCAGGCGGTAATATTTCTTTGGGTATAGCTATGTCGAATTGTATGGTACTTAGTCTGCCCCTCACATGCGCAGTCCTCACTCGAAGCATATATATAATACACCCGAATGCTTACAGTATCCGCCAATAGGCGGGACTTCAGCTACACATTTGACTGTTGCGGGTGGACATGACAGTGTCTGGTACAACAAATCTAGTAGCGCGTTCTAATGTAACAGCATTTAGCATCACATTCTGTTCTCAGAAGGCATCGTACCAGTGGTCGAAGCTTTTGCAGGCACGACATTAACCCCTGGTGGTAATTGGTCTTGGGTACTACGGTGGAAAAATCGTGGTCAATAGATCGGTCGTCAATGCGGAACACCTGAGCCATTCCAGGCTCGCTAGAAATTATACTGTGACACAATGTCTTTCTGCAAATGTCACCTGCAGTTACGTTCACCCAAGCGAGGTTTTGCGGAAGTGGGATGATGATACCACTTCGCCAGTCTTTCGATGATCAATTACAACTTGAGAATGGATGACTCATTATCCTGTTGGTAGTAGCGTCTGCCCACTGGATCTGACACGTAAGTTAGTGGCTGTGCTATGACATGCCAGGCTGAGCACAAAGCGGACTGAGTGTAAGCTCGTTGCTTACCTGAGTTCCTATAATCAGCATAAATACTGTCCGCGATAAACAAAGCGTGCTTTGTTTATCACTGCCTTTTGGCGTAACTGTTAAGGGACGACAGTCTTAACAGCTTACACTGAGCATCCTAAGACTTATTTGAAGTAGGAAACGCGATGATAATTGAGTGAAGACCGCAAATAGATAATCGTACAAGGAAATGGGCTAGTTGCGCAAGTTGTACACCTTCGTGCCATAGTATACACCCGCAGCACTACTCGTTGCAGCGAGCACAAGGGGTACTGGGCCCTTGGTAATACGGGGAAGAGATGAGAGCAGTAGCAGGGCCGAAGCACCTATGAGAATAAAAGTCAGTATATGTATAAGAATGTGAATTTGAAAGAAGGCAACGTACCCAAGGCGCCCTCCAACCCATTTGGCGCGCCTTTCCTGATGACTTCTGCACTCCACAGGAACAAAAGACCCACACTAGAGTACAAGCGTTCGCAAAAACACGCCTTTATGTTACCAGGACGCGACTCACCCGATACCAGCAACGAGCGAAGGAACCGAACGAGTTCTTGCATACCCAGTGATGCCACCGACGATACAGAGACCGCCCATGGTGTATGCAGGGTAGGCAGACTGGATAAACTTGGTGTGAGTGGTAATTCTATATAAAGAAAATAAGGTCTTACCATTGTGCAAAACTGTAAAGCGAAGAAAATAATACGAGGTTGGAGTAAGGTGGCTTTGAAGTCGTGGAATTCGCAACTACAACATTTTACCCCGCATAGGCCGCATCGTACTTATGGATTGTCGGAGATTTCAGACTCCGCGGTAAGCGATTAGTAGAATAAATTAATATATTCACCTTTTCGCCAGCTGAACTATGGATGCTCAGCTCCTTGCACCGCTCACGCAACTTACTGCTCTTTCCCAATCACTCTTCCTTTCGTTATCTCACCAGCCTTCGCAAAAACAAGTTCCCCCACCTCCTCTAAGCTCATTTGCAACCGTCGATGCTGAGTTGCAAGCAGCACTGATAACAGCGGCAGCACATCAGCGCCGACAGGCACGCATTGTCGCATTACAGCAGGAGCTATTGGAGGTGGATGCTCGATGGCGCGCTGTGTGTGAGGCATTGGAAGAGGGGAGGAAGGTGTTGGACGAGATCGTGAAGGAGGGCGATGAACGTGTAGAATGCATAAGAAAGGCAAAGGAGGGTTCGTAGTCTATCTTTTCATCCGGTTGACATTGAACTGGTGTACACATGAAGCCGCGATCCCTTATCCCGAATTGCTTGCATATGCACAAAGCCTTAGCGCCTTTACGAGTGCGCCGCCAGGCTTGACTATGCCCGAGCCAGGTGCTGTAGGTCCTGTGCCTCTATTCTTCCCGCCATTCCCAAATGAGGAGAAGATGCGCCGTGGCAGACTGAATGTGGAGCGTCCGCTAGGTGGGCTTGGGGAGAATCATAGCGTGAGAGGTGAGTGGTTCTTCAATAACGAGCATATTCTACTAGTGGTCGGGTTTTGTCTACTCCTGGTTTCATATTTGGTTTAACTCTTATAACTCTCCAATATTATCATTATTTTTGAGTGTATCTTGTTTCCTTCACTATATATATTCCCTTCTGTGCCTTTAAATTGAACTCAAACTAACACATGAGCAGCTCCAGAGCCGTCGCCCCCACCTGTCCAAACACGCGAGCGCCCAGGTGTGAACCCTTATCGTCACGATACTCGCCCACAGCTGGCTGTGTTCGACCTCGATCTCGACCTCAATCCAGATCTATGATCTCAACTGTGTTGCGGGGAGATCTCGTTAGGCACTGCCAGTGAGTCTTGTTGTGTTCGGTTCATTGTTTTCTCTCATCTGGATAACAAAGTGCAGTGCGACATCCGGGAGAACATTGATTGCGCGAACTTGAGGTGGTATTCCCTTACATGGCACAACTCTTGTTGATTGACAGGAACGGAAGCACGCAGTTTAGCGAGGCTGAAACTACCGGTATATATCTTCACCCTATGAATAGTCGCAGCCATTATAAGACTGCCTATCCAATGTCCATCGTGCCCAGATGTTAAGGCCGAGGGTACCAAGTGCTAACTTTTAACAATTATCATTAATTCGTTACGTACTCAGTACTCAGTTTCTAGTCCAGCGCAAGATGTTATATAATGTGGGGTAAATGCGGGGTATGAGAAATGGCCCTTAGCCTCCTTCGGTTCCTTATCTTTCCCTCGATGATTCCAAATAATTAAGGTAATGTCAATATGTACCCTCGATCCTGCAAATGAAATATTTACGAGGTGTGGCCACATGCGGGTGCGAACACTGGGAAGGATGTCAGGAAGAATAGTTTGTCACGATGCAACGCCCAGGCTTACTGCAGGGTATATCATAGCAAGACATGGCATAGTGAAGGAGGATCAGTTGTCTGCCTCCTTTGTCTTGTGAAGAGTTTCTAGTGCTGCAGCCTTTGCCTCCATTAGGGAGGCTACTTGTGAGCCTTCAACAGACATTTCCTGTCGGTCCTCATGCACAAGTAGCGGTGCTGCAGGCATAGGTGCAGACTTGGACCGTTTCATCATTTTGGCTAGCAGCTCCGATACACCACCTATACTCCTCTTTCTGCGGTGTTCCTGATCAGCACGGATTTTGGCCTCTTCGAACTGGCGACCCCATATGATAAGTTGTCTGCGAAACCCGATATTTGGCGCAACTATTCCACGCTTTGCTTGGACATGCTTAATGGTCTCCAAAGCGTGCATCGGTGTTGTTGCGACGAGATAAGCGCAAATCAAGATAGGTGATCTCGAGATCCCCTGGAAACAGTGGACCTACGAGGGGTACCTCTGTTGGTTCCTACAAATTAAGAGCTTAGCGATCCAAGGCGCACCAAGACTTTTGTGTCTTCCTTATCCAGCGCCTCCTTGATAAACTCCACCACGGGATCGAACCATCCGCAAATCTGCTCCTCGGCTAAATCGCGCACGGGAACGTGGAAGACCTGGACGTGCGGTGGAAATACGCCCGTGATATCAAAATCGATAGCAGATACGACGTGTGTGATACCGAGACGTGCGAGGTTGCCTGGTGTGCGAGCGGTGTGGTAATCGGTAAGATAGAGGCGGGGAGTTATGGCCGTTGCTGCGCGTCCGTGAGACGGGTCTTCGTCGTTCCTTGAGCGTCGAGAAGTTGTTTTTTGGATGAGTGATGATTGCCATGAGGTAGAAGGGAAGGATATCATGATCTAGGATGGTGCGAAAGAAGTGGTATCTTCAGTAGTGCAACGATGAAGCTCCTCCGGTCGAAGCTGAGAATTTTATAGGTCCAGGTCGACCTCCGGATCAACTCAATACCTCAATAAACGAGACCTATGCAGGTTTCTCAGCTGTCGTAACTCATCGGGCAGTGCACAGGTCATTGCATTACATATGCAAAAACAGCCATAAATACAACTCTAAGCTCTTAAATTTGGCGCATAACACGGAAAGCGCGCTCTCATGCCTGGCAGGCCTGAATATGCATCAATATATGTATTTCTTCATCTTACAGGCTGCGAAGTTATTAGCAACTCTTGATCGGAATGGTAGAAGCCTCCAGGCGAATCGGCGATATACGGCCAGTTCACAGACATAACTCACAATAATGCGATGTATGTGATATGATATTTCGATAACCTAAGCCATATGTAGTAGTCATGGCAGGTAATACACGACGTGCCAAGTGTGTGACATGTCCCTGGATACCAGAGGTGAAAGCGTACTGCAACCTTGCTCGCAACTGAATCATGATGCAGCCTTTTGCTCAGCCCGTGCTTTCCGCTGATGTGTAAAATCAGTACAGTCAATTACGGGACTTTTGAGAAGTCAGCCCACCGATCCATTGAGAGCGTACAGCGAGTTCTTGCGGAACTATGTGTGCTTGAGCACTCAGCACATAGAATCGGACACCTAGAAACGTACCTTGGAGTCAACCTATGATGAAAAGTGAGCCCAAGAGTAAATCTTGATTATTTTGACAACGCACCCCCCTCAGCGACCGAGACCGGTTAGTTTGTGGTCTCCTGATACCATTGCGGTGTGCCTTGCGGTTCTGGTTGTGGTTGGTGTGGCTTCGCAAGTTTCAGTTGGATAGATATCTACAAAAATACCAGACGCACTTTTTGGACTTGGCCATGGCGTCGACGTTAGTTTGAGGCTTGGACTCAAACGATTCAATGTGAATCTTAATGACCGCGTTGGAATCAGGTATATCGAATGATGTGGCTGAAGAACTGTCTAGTTGGTTGTCCCACGGCTCGGCAAACCCCGAAGGCATTACTTTGGTAAGCTAGATTAGTAATACATGACTTCTTACATCATTTCAAGGTTGTAGGAACTCGACGTATATCATTCAAACCACTATGTCGAAACATCACCCCGGTGAGTCTCCTCTCCTGTGACTCTAGAACAGATAATTGAACAAACTGATACAGATTTGATTATGTGCCGGCGCCAGCCTGGTATCGGTGAGTACATCATAAATCGATCCGGTGGTGATGTTACTCATCTTTTATCTTATGAATGCTTCAAGCTATTGGCAGATTGTGTGAGAAGTGTGATGGTAAATGGTACGCCAAGCAACACTATCTTTCGTGCTATCAACTAATACGCAGAGACAGTCCTGTCTGTGATTCATACGTTCGACCTGAAACACTCGTCCGGATATGTGACGAGTGTAATTTTGGTACATATGGAGGAAGGTGTATTATCTGCGGATCACCAGGTGCGTTACAACTATTCGTGCGTTTAGAGCATAGATCATTCGTATTCTCGTAGGTATCTCAGATGCGTACTACTGTGCAGAGTGCACGCGGTTAGAAAAAGACAGAGACGGATGCCCGAAGATCGTGAATTTGGGTGCTAGTAGGACAGATTTATTCTACGAGAGACGCAGACTAGGTCAGTATTGCGTGGTTGAAAAGCTTCTCGTCAGCTGCTAACATAAGCTTTTGTCCCATCCAGGCTTTAAGAAGAGCTAGCCTTACACATACTACACTTTGTGCGACTTTACTCATGAGTTGCACCAGATTTTGCGCTCCAAGATGTCTGTATTTCATTATACGAAGACGGGGTAGGAGTAGGTATGCACTCGATTGGCTACCCAAACGCGTAGAACATTAAGAATATATATATATCGGTATACATCTAGCAGTACACTGGGAAAGGGATAATAGGCGGGCTGTCGTTGGGGTTTTCCAGGTTTGCGAATCGCCTATGTTCTCATTAGATGACATTACGTGAAAGCTGTAAGAACAACACACCGGAATTGAACCATGTCGACCTTCTCATGTGTTAGTAGATGGATGATGATGTAGGATACGGAAAACGTACAGGTGCCTTAAATACAACAAATATGTGCGTCTCGTCATGAGTGTCAAGAGATTCACATTCTCCACATAGGTCTTTCGCGCAATACGCACAACGGTACCATGCTCCTTGAATACGCTCCATACAGCGATCGCAAAGCGCCGTGGAGTGAACCAAATGATAGAGATGCTCTGTGAATCTTTAATGTGAGTGTGAAAGCTCATCAGTATGGTTGACAAACCTTGTGGATCTGCGTTGGGTGCGAGGCCACCAACAGGACCTGCCGGGACCTTGTACCTACCAACGTGTCACGGAATAACCTCGATGAATTGTTACAATTCAAAGCTCACAGTTTCGGAAGGAAACCAGACGGTGACTCGAGTTGTACATTAACAGGTCTCGGTATCTTGAAAAAAGAGTGCATTGGGTCATGGACGGCATATGACTTCTGCTCGCATGATTGGCACTTAACATTCGTGATGAGAGCAGTGTAAGTGTGTAATTACAATGCACATACCAAGCTATATGCAGTGGGTGAAGAGGGGCATGTAGCACATTGATACCGTGTACCAATTATTGTCTGGAGAGTCGTCAGCCCTTCATGGGAGTATGATTGCGAGGACCAAACCTGGTTGCAGCCCTTGCAGGACAAGTGGTGGTTCAGCGACTCGCCATCGAGCGCACTTCGGGCATGTCTCGAGCCAACGACCGTCTGAGCATATGAAGAGTATACGGAGCCTGGTTTGGAGCGGGATGCAGTCAAAACATGTGCTGCGTCCCTGCCTGTCCATAAATGGATGGCACGGCGGCTGGCCGTTTGCACTTCTGTTGTTTCGAGTGGATAGGGAATCTTGAAAAAAATGAGCAATGTGTTCGACCCTGAGAAAGATAACAGATACCTTTATCATAATATGCGAGGATATGTGCCCCCCGTCCGAGGAGTCCAAATTGCCTGGAAGTCCTGCAGACTCGCAATTGGAGCAAATGTCGATGGAGTCGCAGATCGCGCAGTGGAATCGGGCACCAAGAATATCCTGTAAACAACTGAAATTCATCAGGTGCTGTAATCATGTCGCCATAGGCCACCTACTGTGCACACTTGACGCCGGGATGTTTCATAGCTACAAATATAGCAGTGAGAGAGGACAGACAACTGTTGCTTAAAACACTCACAACGTTCCTCATTATTGTCGTTTGACATTATCATTGGTAGAGCATGTGAATATTCTGGTTCACTTCTAGACCTAACAGACTTTTCCGTGACTACCAGGAATGCATGTGAAGGGTGTATATCGTGGACTTGGCTGCCCAACCAGGTATTAGTTCAATCTCCATCGCACAAAAAGCCACTTGCCTGTAACACGCTCGACATAGATTGAATTTCTGACATGATGTACATTTATACCGCTGGTTCGCGATGGCTGAATTGCAAGTCGAACATTTACAGATATGCATATCATCTTGCTCTGTGAAGAATGAAGGTAAAGATGTCGTTCCAATGTCGCCGTATATTCCATTATATGCTTACCTACGTCTTCCCATCCATGATGGCCCCAGACCTTTTCAAAATACGCATGTCTGAGCTGGCCTTTCTGTCTGGGAGCGGAGCGACTCCACGATGATAAATCGTCTTCCGGAGACGATTCTGCACCTGATCCATTCCGCCGCTCCGTGCTTGCACGAAGCGCATGTATCACGCCAGCCGATTCAACACATCCCGAGCACAGTTCAAAGCCCATAGTAGACGACTCGGATCCATGGCGAAATCTGAAACCTGACCGTGCACTATATAATGTAGGGCTTGACGAAGAGGAACCGGGTAAGGAAGGGAGTGGCTTGTTGTGTTTGTGTTCGCTGCGCGTCTGCGGTGACCCGCTTAATGTGACAGAGTCGAAGAACGTAGATGGGGATGGTGAAGATGACAGGAGTGTGTGATGAGGATGAGGGGGATAAGAATGTAATGGCTCTAAGTCTCTGGCCTTTCCTTTGCCTAGATCAGAGTCTGAACCGTTGCGGAGCACGATGCTTGCCAGAGGTTCCTTCTCACCACACACCGCACAGACGTACCGAATGCCATCTAGCATGACTCCACAGTCTGAACAAGTAGTGAGCGAGCCTGGAGGAGGTCCTGGAGGTGCAACAAACTGGAGCACCTCTGGTGGAATGTCGGGAGCGATTGGGTATGGAGCTTGGTCAGATTTGGAGGAGAGTGGGGGAAAACGCTTATATGAATCAGGGATGTTATCGGAATGATCATTATCTGCTAGCTTTTGTTGCGAAGCAATCCACGTAAGCTGCATGCTGTTTGGCCGCGGGGGCGAACCGTTAAAGGGGTCAGCGTCATACTTTACACTCAAATTGTCCTCGTAACCCGAGTCATGTGTCGTAGAACTTGCACCAGTATACGAGTAGTAGTATTTCCCGCGAGGATCTCGTTCCAGTGCAAGATCCCCATCCATGTTGTTAGATGGAATGTGCTCGTCAGAATATGTTAATGATATTGACCTCGAATCAGATTCCGAGGGCTCAGGTGTTGCCCCGAGCATGGCTTTGATTGTGCGCGCATTTTGATCGCGCAACCACGCCGCCCCTCTGTCCTGAGCAGAACGCGCCAATGCTATGTCAATCGGCGTAGGAGAGCATGACCGATGTGAAGGGGCCATGTCAGATGCTGACGCATCAGGGTGCTCCTGGAGCTTGAGTCGTTCAAATGCAACTACAGGGTCTTCTAGAACGCGTTCTTCAGTGAAGAACTGGTGATTGTCTGCGAATGGACCCTCGTCATGCATTGTTTGATCTTCCACCGCTGTCGAATCTCTTTGGGATGCCGAACAACCGGTAACACTGTTCTCGGGTATAGAAAACGAGTCTTGATGTTTGACCAAGTCATCCGAACGCGGTGTGATAGGGTGCACTGTCGACCCTTTTGCAAAGCGCCAATTGGTATCTCTCGAGCTCACTGTCACTGAATCATCGTCAACTTCCCCTCCTCCAACGGACCAGCTTAATTCGCCTTCGCTCCTGTTACGGCCTTTGTATTCTTCCATGCTGGCGAGACTTGATGTGTCGCTTAGGCTCGGGCCATCGTAATCAACAGTGATGTGAACACGTAGCGTTATCCGTCTGCTTCCGAAGCTGCGGCCAGATAGAATTGATGCTGCAGAGGAAAGCGGAGGATCATCAGATCCAGCCTGGAAGTATTGAATGGCTTCTGTGAGATCGGATTCTGTGGTGATATCGGTGATTTCGCCGTCATCGTCCTTGTACGCAATCACATATGAAGTCGCATAAAGTGAGAAACACTGCTCAACCTGACCGATGGTGTGGAAGAAGAGAATATGAATGATAAGCCTTAAATTTAATGACCAAAGAGACGCACTCTGTTCCTCAGCAGCTCGTATGAGCAATTCCTAGCGGAAGCAAAGCTTATCCGCTTGTTCCATCTATCGAAGGCGCACTTGACGACTAGGGGTCTGTCTGGTCTAACATGCATCTTTCTTGCAGGTTATATCACCTTGGCCTAAGTGACCTTCCAACCAAAGGAGGCGCACGTTCCGCAGTCAAGTCAGCACTGTGCTCATCCCGCGCTGGTAATTTCAAGTTGCCGATAATCAAAATGGGAAATCTCCTATCTACTGGACGCTCATTGTTACTGTGCACTAAGGATGTGAGCCTCTCTCTATATATATAAAGTTACAAACGAGCGAAGAACAAGAGACATTGTGCGCATATACAATGATATGATGCCGAAAAGTACTAGGACAAATGGAAACTGCCAACTCCTTCTTTCATCGCAATGCGTAATTTCTCTCGCATCACTACTTTTGAACTATACTCCGGTAGCTTCAGGTAATTGACACAGGTCATTACACTTGGCAGGTAATCATCTGCCACAAGTGGTGGTTCGTGTGGTTTGCGAACGACAGTGAGTGGAGGGTTAAGACCACGGAACCCTTTGAACACAGCGTCAGCCAGTCTTGAGATGAGATGTAACGAAACACACCTCCGATAGGAAGTTTCGGGCTTCCTGTGATAAACTGAAGGAAATCACGGCGAGCTAAGGCATCAAAGTCCGACATGATCCCTACGAGCTCACGAATAGCACGACTCTCGCTGTGGAAGCCATGGTCGGCTTTGATAGCTTCATTCAACGCTAAAGTCTTATTGTCAGCCAGGTTGACACCAGTACAAAAATTCACGTACTCTCAACTCCCCAGTCTTCGTCTGAGTTACCAAATAACATGACCAACTCGTCCGCCGAGAACGCCTGCAAATCAGAAATTGGGAACACCTTTGAGAAGCCCTCTCGGAACGCCTTGGCCTGTGGCTGAACGCCAGTGCCAATAATTGCATCCAGGACCTCGTGAATGTATTCTTCTGCATTTTCCGAAGTCACAGGAATGTTACGTCCGCCAGGCTATAACATGCATTATGACCCACTTGAATAATGACAACAAGATGAGACTCACCCGAAGCTCGATGTCGTATCCGGGAACTGTGAAATCAAGCGCAAGATCTTCGACATTGACAATATCCATTAATGCAACCTTGCGGAAGAGCTAGATATCGCGGAGGTAAGAAAACTTCTAGTCATGACGTGGTAAATCAGCCAGAATACCTTCTCACTCTGCCCTTTCATGGACGCGTAGCTCTGGAGTTTGGAGAGAGAGCTGGCAAGTTCATTGTCCACAAGCTGGACACGATCATATGAGTACAGTGTCTTATTCGCACACAATATTTCTTACTTTCAGGGACTCGATGGTCAAAGGCACTTCCTCCCCTAGCACAAGTTTAACGAAAATCTTGTTGACTGAGAGGTCTATAATGCGGGAGTCCAACATTGCCTTCGCCACATATTGGCCAACAACTCGGAGGATGTGCGTCCGTTTTCTACCACTAGACGTCAGATATACAACAGCCATTTGGGCTAGAGAAGCACTCACTGTCCCCCATCATTTGCAATGTCGTCAGGGCTAATAGGGGCAGGATAGAGTCCCGTAGGGTGATGAACATATATGCCAGGAGCAGCTGAGTCGGCATCTCGCCATATCTTGAGATCTCTCCTGGCAAATTCCTTCGAAACGAGGGAATAAAACTCAAGAGTAGGTCCAAGCCCAGTCCCAACCTCATCAAAATACTCCACTTCCAAGATCGAGGATGAAGACCCATAGAGCTCGAAAACCTTGACCGCTGACTCCAGTATGTGTTTACGAGAGATACGGACCTTCTGGCGCTGCAGCCGTCCAAGAAAACCGATACCCTCATCTCGCCGCGAGCTGTCCTGGCTGCGGCCTTGCTGGCTTTGCCACTTCAGAATAAGGCGAGCGTATCCAAAAGAAGTCGATTGGAGGTAGTTGTACCTAGTGGCGAATGGAAAGAGGAAAGGGAAATTTTGTGGCAAGTCAAGTGCCCAGTCGGGTAAGCATGAACTGAATAGAGTAAGCAACTGCAAGTATATAAAAGGAACGACTGAATCACCTGACTACGATCATCGGTTCCTCCAGCTGACGAGTGAGTTTAGCAGTTAACTTGTTGTTAATGAACGTAGACTCCGAGAGCGCGCGACGATCTAACGGTCTGGCTGGCCGTTGGGCTTCCGCAGCATTCAATCTATGCAATACGCGAAGCAAACGGAGAATCTTGGCATGAGGGGCATCATCCGGGAGGGAAGAAAGGATGGGACTGGGTGATCGGATTTTAGATGCCGAGGTGTCTGCACGAGCTGTCAATATCATCAGATTCAGCAACACCAATCAGGTTACTGGTGCCTACATTCTTGGCTCGGGGGAGGACCATTTACTTTCTTGAACTTGACTGTATAGATTCCCTGCCACATGGAGCTAGATGGCACAGGTCCAAGCTTCTTACGGATTTCATGCTGATGAATGGCGCCATATATTGTCAGGTCAAGGGGGAGAAGGTGGTCATCCATCGAGAACTCAAGGTGCCAGTCCGACGGTTTGGCTTTTAGAGCAGCTGCATACGAGGTTTTATTCGGATTGGGCGGTCTAGATGATGAAATCGAAGGTGCTGTACTTGGAGTTGCAACTCGTGTTCCATCAGGAGTCTGCGCTTCCACTTTGCTACCGTCTGAGGATGTGTCGGATGAGTAACCTCCTACAGCATTATCGCGATGGCTTACCATCAGCAATGGACAAGGTGACGGTCTTGTCTGCAGCAGAGTCGATGTCATCGTCATCTTCAAATACCTTCCAAGAAAGCGGTCAGCCCCAAAGTTATATGTTTGATTTCGGTAATTACCTCAGCGTCTACCTCATCATCGGTAAAGTCTGATATGAGTCCGCCGTCTTGAATAAGGGCTTCCATGCGTTGGGCTGTAGATTGAGGGGCAACAGATGATGACGAGCCAGTATGCACTGAACCGATGGCAGGCACTGTTGCGGAACTGCCCTCGCTCTTGTCACCTAATGGTCCGCCATTCTTAGCGCTGAGTCTTAAACTCCGGCGTCGGCCAATCTCCGAGGAGCCAGCGGCAGGTGTTTCAGAAGCAGGTTTTGTAGCACTGCTAGACTCTGCAGGCTTGCTTGCTTGTATTGGGGCTTCCGGAGGATTGCGCGAACTTGCTGGGCCAAACCCAGAGGCTGCCAAAGCTGCTAACATTCCAGACAGTCCTCCGGTTGACATCAACCCCGTAATTCTGGGACGCAAGTAATCATTTAATGCTTGGAACGTTGCGATGGCATGGATAGAAACCACCATGTTCTGGAGGTTGCGAGGAATGTCAGACTCATTATCTGCAACTAGACGAAGGCGAAGTTGTCGGGCAAGGAGAGATGGTGAACTTCGCTTGGAATCTACCGCACGTTAAGTTTGACACAGAAAGGAGAAGGATCGGCATTGTACTCACCGTCTGTTCCTTGTGAAACAGTGACGACATCAAAGTCCTCCATTCTCGTGAGACTCTCCTGCAGCTTCTTCACCAAAACAGTAAGTGGAGACTGAGTAACAGTCCCACCTCTCGGGATACGGCTAAATGCATCATACAATAACTCTTGGCGTCGTTTGCTAGTGACTGTCATAAAGTAAATTAAGCCATCCGATAAAACGTGGCAGTGATTCGTACCTGTACTCCTGGCAGCGTCAGTAGCAAAGCGCAACAACCCGTCGACAGCTCCGCTCTGCAAAAGCTCGAAGCTTGAGACAGAAGAGTGGGATGTGAAATGATCTGCAATGTCCCTCAATGCAGACACCATGGCCGACTCGCCCACATCTGGAGTAGCAAGTCTATCGACAAGACGGCGAAGTTCATCAAAGGCATTATCTTCGTCTCCCTCCTCCTGTCCCAAAGAATACTTGAAGCGGATGACTCGGGCCCGTAAAGTAATTGCATCCTCGGGCTCCAAAGAAAGCGAGTGAAGCTTTTTGTACCCAGGTATCGTAGAGGAAATATGAAGAGGAATGTTCACAGGGTCCGCTACGATGGTGCCATCTGAATCCTTAGATTTCATGGAAGTTAGTGTTCTTGCAGCAAGTGATTCGATTTCGTGGAATACTCCTTCTCGCCGCAGGACAGGGCGGTATTCCGCTGGAAGCTTCTGTAGCAGAAGATCGACGAGCTGAAGTGCACCAATGACTAGTGAAGGATGATCCTTAGACGATAGAATCGATGAGGCAAAACTCGCAACAGGTACTAGCTATATTTCAAAATCAGACGGGGCTATAAAACAAACAAAAAAAGATACTCGCATTAAATGCGTCCTTCAGCGCCTCCCCTTCAAGGAAACCTACTGCCTTCAGTAGACCTGTCAAAGTTTTAACCCGGACGGGAGTAATTACGCTAGCAGCATATACGTCTATCAAGATGGGCACCATTAACTGCATAAATCGTCCGACAACCTCCGGCTTGGAACGTAGAAGCTCAGAACGATCTGCTACTGCAGGCTCAGCGACAGAGGTTAAAGGAAGAATGTCGTCAGGATCCTGCATTTGAAAGTCATTCATGCTGGTATCCTGAAATGGTTCTGCTGCAGGTGTTGCTTGCGCCGATGTGTCAGGGCTTGGCTGATAAGGTGCGAATACAGCCTGACGCGCAGCAGCGCGATCAGCCTTGGTTTTAGCTTTTACCATCCGTGACAATGCCTTGTCGGTATAGCCCTTGTGATCAAACACGCCATCTTCAAAAGGTGTGAGTAGGCAATCATGTTATTACGAGATTCTCAGGCGTACCTTTTGGAAGAGGAGGCATTAGTTCGGACACCAGACTGAGGGCTTCTTCCACTTGCTCCTTGGATCGGTGGGCAAGATTCTCCATGACTGTCATATGAGTCACATCGCCAGCCAGCCCTTGGCCACCTTGCTCGCCCCCACCGCCAGATGCTGAGGGGAGAACTCCCGTCAGGATCTGGTAAAGTGTATCAACGATGTCTGCCTGAAGTAGATTGAGGGTAATCTTTGGGCTTGCGCGGGCGGCTGTTGCCAGTGCCTTCAAGAGTAAAGTGAATGTATTAGCAGCAATCAAGGGGGAACCTCCGGCTGGCATAAGAAGTAAGTTGATCGCACGAATGGCGGTCTCATCCAGCAGGCTTTCCAGGTTCTCCGTCGCGGAGCGATGATAAGAGTCCACAACTCTGATGACGCACAGGCATGCAAATTCAACCAGCCTCTGGTCAGAATAGCCAATGCAATTGCGAATAATGGGCCAGACGCCAAGAATCATCTGGAAATGATCCGGCGAGATATTTCTGCAACAATTCGCAGCAGCTTGCAGCGCAGTCCTTTGTACAGCGATGGAGAAGAAGTCTAGATAGTTCAGCAGTGCCGCTAAACCATTTTCTCGTACGATGGAGCTAGGGAACTCTTCGGATATTTTTTCCAGTGTCTGAAATACAATTTAGGGGAGAATGTGGCATTGCAACTGAGGGACTCACGCTCAGAGTCTGTTCTGCGAGATCAATATAAGATATCTCAATCAACTTGCTGCAAAGGACCGGTATTGCGCCGTGATAGACAACGGAGTGGGCTACACCAGGCAGAGCCTCCATCAGATTTGCCAGGCAACGACATGCCAGCATCTGCGCTTCGAGATTCTCATCGCCCTGGTATGTTCCACCCCCGCTCATCGCCAATGCAGCAGCTAGAGCCGCGTCCTCGTCATGATCATCCCCATCATCACCACCGTCGTCGTCTTCGTCTTCATCTGCGCCGCGCCCACCAAGGATCTTCACGAGTTCCCTTACAAACTGTTCCACTTGGAACGAGCCTGCTAAAGTGTCTTCCGTGCTTATGCTGAGGAGCTCACTAAGCTCCTGCAGTGTCACCAAGCGAGTGGTTGGGCTCGCGGTTGATTTTATATTATTCAACATGGTCTTGAGTCGGCTTGAGAGGGAAACCATGTATGATCCAAATTGGCGATAATCTCCAAAGATTGCCATCGCAGCAGATTCGTCTAGGCCAGCAAATCCACGAGTAGCACCAACTGGTAAGCGTCCTTCTTCATCCCCGTTGTCGTCGCCTTCGCCATCACCACCGTTATCTTGGTCATCCATGGCGACGTCATCGTCATCACAGCCGTCAGGTTGTTCTTCATAGGCAGGTTCATCGGGCCTAACTATCGTAGTATCAAGCATCGCAACGTCTTCGTCAGCCATCTTCGAAGAGCCTGCAGAAGCGCCAACTTTGCTTTTCGTCGCTGCTTTCGCTTTACTCGGTGATGACCTGTAACGTAACATGTGAGCAAATCCAGGGCGAGAGAGGCTGAATACAAACTTGGGTCTTCTAGGCATGGGTGCGGAGGCAGAGGTTGAGGCGTCTGTTCTTGATCTCAAGGAATATGCTGTAGTTCTTGTGCGCTTAGAAGATAAGGTAGTGCTCTGCCCCTCTTCTTCTGAATCCGGTTCTGGAGCGGCGCGCTTCTTGCCTTTGCGGTCTTTTGTTGGTTCGGTAATTGCAAGTGATGGGGCGGATGTAGAGGGAAGTGTCGCTCGATGTGCTCTGCTGTCAGGATGTCAGTTAAATATAACTATGGGTGCGGGAACATGTTCGCCGCACCTCTTGCTCACGCGGGCAATTTCTTCTGACGATTCTTTAAACTTTCCGTTTCCTGAACTACCTTCTCGAGTGCGCTTGTTCTTGGCCTGGGTTGTCGACCTAGTTTCACGGGTGCTCTCTAATGGCACTGCTATGTATTGCTCTGCTGAGTCACCTTCCCTATCTTTCGCCTGCTCGCGTTCCTTCTCCTTTTGCTTGGCTGCTTTTACTCTTGCGCTAGAACGTATTGGCTTGAAATCTATAGTCGATACCGACGCCGATGTGGATGGAAAGTGAGCTTGTTCTGATTCTAGTGGCTGCAAGGATACACTGGAGCTTGTGGCTTCTTGCTGATAGATTGGTTGATAGTCCATTAGAACATGCTCCCAGCCATCGATTCTGAAGTTCTGCTAGATGTTGGGAAGCTAGTGGTCAATGAGAAAGAAACGATGCGTCGACGCAATGTTAAAGCCGGTGCTCGAATTCGGGTAGATGCCGCCTGGAGAAGGCGTGCGAAAGCGATGGTGGCGTAACCTTGCGGGATGCCCCGATCACCGAGGGCTTGGGGTTACTACGCAAGGATGCTTACTGCATTCACAAAATTTGATGCTATGTACAGAGTGATCGATATTTATGCAAAATTTTCTGTTAACACTTCCTCGATGCTCTTCACGAAAATATCCACAATCTTCTCTATCTCTTCGGTGGTTGCATTGTACGCAGGGCCGAGCATGAGGTGGTCCCCCTTTGATCCATCGAGCGAGGAGCCACCGACCATGCCCATCACAATAAGTCCATTCTCAAGACAGCGCGCCTGCACCGCCATTGCAAATTGTTGGTCCTTCATATCAATACGGCGTGCCTCGAGGCTGGAGAAGTCGAATTCGACCCCAAAGAAAGCCCCAGCCCCGCGAACATCGAATGTATATGGCGCTGCGAGAGCATTTTGGGACTGTAGGCGGTCTTTCAGCAGCGCAATCATGTGTACGCCGTTCTTCCTGCACTGCACAAGGAGATCCTCTTCAATTATGACCTTCTGCACAGCTAAAGATGCTGCACATGCTAGTGGATTTGCCTGTCAAGAATAAATGTTAATAACCGGCTCTTCGATAACCTCACAGTACCGACCTGATATGTGTGACCATGTTTGAGCAGTCCGGAACTCCCCCTGATCCCTTTCGCAACTTTAGGCGAGATGAGAACAGCACCTATGGCAGCGTAACTGTGGCCCAATCAGTAACATTAAAAGAGAAGGGATGTGTAACACTCGCCCACCACCCAAACCCTTGGCTACTGCCTGCAGGTCAGGTGCAGCACCATCACCGAAGCTCTGCCAAGCGTGCATGGTGCCCATTCCTGGCGAACCCCACCATCAATAGTGGTCAAGATCAACATATCGAGATCACTTACGGCCCATGCCAGACATTACCTCATCGAGCATGAAAAGGGCACCATATTTGTGACAGACTGATTTCATGGCGTTGAAGTATCCCTTTGGTGCACTCACAACCCCTGTTGTCGCACCAACGACAGTCTCCGCGACGACTACCGATCGTCAGATTTTGAAAGGAGTAAATCATGACGACAATGACGTACAGCCGATTACGGTCTCGGGACCGAGTTCGATAAACTTGTCCTCGAGTTCTTGTCGGAGTCGCTCGACGTACTGCTCCTCCGTCTCATCTGGTTTTTGGAACCTCTTTGCAAATGCTGGGGAAACGTGGTGGAAATTCTGGTGGTCTAAAATAGCCTCATACGGCGCACGGCGGCCAGGATGGTATGCAAGGGACAGATTACTTAGGGTATTTCCATGAAAGGACAGTTGACGGGCAATGTAGTTCGTCCGTTTCGGCTGCCCGACCTCGAGATAATACTGCATTTATGTTCATGAGCCCTTGGCCTACGCCTCCACAATACCAACACACCTGTCTCGAGAGTTTGACAACAGTCTCCATTGCTTCAGAACCTAAATTGGTAGTGGTCAGTAAGGTTCAAGCAGAGTTCTATGGCAATACCTCCAGATAAGAATGCGACCTGCTCAAAGACACCGTCGCTGGTATCCACGAGCAGTTTAGCTAGCTCCTCTGCAGGAGGGCTGGAAAGCTGCATATTGTATACATCTATTCATGATCAGTCACTCGTGTTAAGGAGTGAAGAGAAAGACATTACATGACATGACATCGATTTGATCTTTTAGGGCTCTGACTACCTTGGGATGGTTTCCGCCGATGCAAGTCACAGCGGCACCGCCGATCCCATCGATGACACGTCGACCATCCTCCAGATCGATGTAAACACCATCAGTGGCGATGGCGATGGGAGGTGTCCATGGCGTTCTATGTAAGATAGATGTAGGACGAGCGTTCATGTTGTAAGTCGAGGGATCGATAATCTTGATATGAGCTCAAGCCAGAGCACGAACCTGGACGGGTGGTTATTATAAGAGCGGTATCGTAAATGAAGACAACCCCACAAAAACCGATACCCTGGTGGCCCTGTCTAAAGGAGCAGCGGCGCTCCTTCGACTAGTCGAACTTAATCTAGATTAAAACTCCAAGTCGGTTAACATATTATAAAACCAGGCTTGGCTAGCCCTGTAGCTGGAATAATATCGAGTTCACGATAAATCGCTTTCGATTTGATACGTAGTGCCGATAGAATCCGAATCAGCAGACTCGGAGTTGCGTGTCAATGACTCAAAGTCGTGTCAAACGCCGATCGCCAATTTGGGATCCTACTTTGTTCAAACTTTGTTTTGTCTCACTCCTTCTACACAAGTAATCTCTGCACTTTTTTTTGGGATCAATGCATGGCTCCCTTGAGCAAGAAACGCAAGGAACCTTTACAATCTCGCACTATCGTTGATTTCTTCTCAAATAACGCATCTACGAAGAAAAGCAAGCTTCAAAACCCCCTTCCCAAAACGAACAAGAAGAACTCCAAAACTTCCTTATCTCGGGATATCATCATCATAGATTCGGACAGTGACGATTGTACAGCGAAAAGAGACAACGGGAAGACGCGAGCAATCCCAGGTGCTCAGAAACAACACGCTTCTCCGCAAGGGGAAAAGGGGAATCTACGTGGTTCTAATGAATGCGAGTGGAAGCCATCTCTCACACGTGTCGCTTTGTCAAATCATGAAGAATCTCATGAGGATAAACTCCCCACATTTGGAAAGCCCGCTTTATTGCAAGCGCCCGTTCAAAGCAGCATGAACACTGTAGAAAGGAAGGATACTTTACTCCAGTCGTCGGTCATTAAAGCCACTTCCAGCATTTCTACCTTTGGTGTTCCAACTTTGTTACTCCGGTCCTCAGTCGAGCCAACTCACGAGCTACTTTTTGAAGGAAACGCATCTGCAGAAGTCGGTATCCCCAAACCCTACAGGGATCATGGAAATATACCACATTCTATTGATGTGGTAGATGTCGACTTTACAGGTGAAGATGAGCAATGGGGTGTTGGAGACGATGAGCTGGCCATCATCAAAGCCGCTAACGATGACATTGAGATGGAGGATGTCTCAGAACAACTCAATGACTGCGTCCATCCTGCTAGTTGCCCCATCTGCGAGCTCGACATATCACGTTTACCTGGCTTGGTTGGTGACATGACCACGCTGCAGATGTAACCCCTCTGATGCACATTTTAGGAGAGACAACACCATGTCAATAAATGTCTCGACTCCACCGTCAGTTCCTCAAGCGCAAATGCAACCATAACTTCAGGCTTGGATGTCACATGCGAGCCCAGTACGAGTAGACTAGAAGATGTCCACAACACCGACTTATATGCCGTCCTGATGACATCCCATAAGGAAAATGAAGCTTGGAAGGAAGCAGATCTCGCAGAGGACCGTAGTTTTCGATCATCTCGAGCACAGGGCAGCCGGAGAAAGGCGCCATTTTACAAAGTTCTGCAGGGAATGCCCATCGCCGTTGATGCGTTCCGCTATGGAACCATACCAGGCGTCGCTGCCTACTTCTTAACGTGTGTATCCCCAAATTGATACGCCGTCACAGCCTTCACACGATTTTTAGTCATGCTCATTCTGATCATTATACCAACCTCGCTTCAAATTGGAAAAGCGGGCCGATTTATTGCTCAGGTATTGTTCATCCTAGCTTTTCAGTTGAACATGAATATTGAAAGTGTAACTAGGGGACACAGCTAATTTGATTATATATATATTGTCGGTTGATCCCAAGTGGGTTCACCCACTCCCGATGGATGTCCCTACAATTGTTCCCAACTCCGGCGGGGTCACTGTCACACTTATTGAAGCTAACCATTGCCCGGGATCGTGCCTATTTTTATTTGAGGGTCCACAGACTGTGCACGCGGGTGACAGTGCCTTCAAATCGCCATTTGTTGGTTCCGGGAAGACTTTCCGATATTTGCATTGCGGAGACTTCAGAGCTTCGCCTCAGCATGTAATGCACCCTGCAGTGAGAGGAAAGCAAATTGACCATGTGTATCTAGATACGACCTACCTAGACTCGAAGGTTAGTCAAGTTAGTTGACGAGGCAATAACGCTTATTGTGTATCAGTATACCTTTCCACCACAGCCGCTGGTCATCTCAGCCTGCGCAGAGTTGGCAAAAAGAATCGTTTCTGGGGAGTGGATAGGTGCTCCAGACACGAATGGAAAACGCAACTCGACTATGGACGCTTGGGTCATTCCTTCAGATAGGGCAGACGATACCGTTATGAAAACACTCAAAGATAGGATGTTGGTGGTTGTCGGGTAAGTTAGTTATTGTATAAATCCAGCTTAGCCATTGATCCACTCTTGTGCAGTACCTACTCCATTGGTAAAGAACGCATTGTTAAGGGTGAGTATTGTGTGGACCGTATCTGGCTCGCTCAATTGTTTCTAGCTATCGCACAAGCTCTCAAGACCAAAATTTACTGTGATGCGCGCAAGGCTGCCATCCTACGATGTCAAAATGACCCTGAGTTGCATGCGCTATTGACCAAGGACCCAAACGAAGCTGGCGTGCATGTTGTTCCGTTGGGCATGATCGTTTCAGACAAGCTCGAGGCATATGTGCAACGGTTCAAAGGGACATACTCTCGGGTGGTTGGTTTCAGGCCCACAGGATGGACGTGAGCATTTGCCATTCCCCATACACTCATCCATCGATCAATAACGCCTACTACAGTTACACACCACCGTCCGGCAGCGATCCCAGTCCACCTATCTCATCCATCATATCACGCGGGCAGTCACGGCCGCCCTTCACACATACAGACCTGAAACCCATGCAAAAGTCGACATTCGCTGTGCAGATGTACGGCGTGCCCTATTCAGAGCACAGTTCGTTTTTTGAGCTTACGTGCTTTGCAATGTCATGTGATTGGGTAAAGATAATTGCGACTGTGAATGTCGGAAATGAAAGACCCAGAGCGAAGATGGCAAAATGGGTGGAACGCTGGGAAGTTGACAAGAAGCGGAACAAGGAGGCCATGGTAAAACCTAGAGCTGCTGATTACTGGTGATTTTCCATCCCTTTACACTGCAGCTACAGTGCTGGTGGAATGTTTAGTGAACTCAGCTGAGACGTAGGGAGTGCAGATGAATCATATATTCATAACCACCTTGCGAGTATCTGCATTTTTGCGTGATGATCGGTCATACACATGGGGCATAGAGTGAAGGAAATGCTGCAAAAGAAATCAATAGACCTTCCGCGATAATATCTATTGTTCGGCAGAAGCCCGCTGTCTCCTCCTGAGATCTCTCTCCTCCGAGATGGTAAGCTTCGTACCCTTGCCCTTGGGTAGTGATATCCAGGGCTTTGAACCATCACCGATGACGAAGATGTTGGAAATACTAATCAAAAACATTAGATTTTTACGTTGGCTGATGGGAGGCACTTACCGGGTGGCGAACGTCCTGTCCAAAGAATCTTTGACATGCACGATATCGAAACCACCAATATGCTTCTCGCGGTGTGTGATGACACCAGCACGACCCATGTTACGTCCGCCAGTAATCATCACAATGTTGCCGGTATCAAAGTGAACGAATTCGGTGATTTTTCCCGACTCAAGGTCAAACTTGAGAGTGTCGTTGACCTTGATGGCAGGGTCAGGATAACGGATGGTGCGGCCGTCGTGAGTGACGACATGGGGAACACCCTTGGCACCGAGAGCAACCGTGCGGACTTTGAGGAGCTTGTAAGAGGCTTCCTCAGCAGTGATGCGGTGGATGGTGAAACGACCCTTGACATCATAGAGGAGGCGGAAGTGCTCGCCGGACTTCTCGATAGAGATGGTGTCTAACCAGCGGAAAAAATGAGATCAAATGAATGAACCAAGAAAAAAAAAAGCTTCTTTACCCATGAAGCCAGTAGGGTAGGTAGTGTCTGTGCGCACTTTGCCATCGACCTTGATCAATCGCTGCTTGACGATTGAGGTAACTTCACGGCCGTTCAGTGCATATTTCAACCTGTTGCGAAGAAAAATGGTGAGGGGGAGCGATTCACGGAGTTTGTGGGGACCAGGAGAAGGACGGGGAGCCTGGGGTATAATTCTGGTGCTTTAGAACAAGGATATCCAAAAGATTTGGGATGCACGCACGTAAGTACCGCTCAACTTGTCCAACATCCATGAGGAGGGTGCAGCAAGGCGCTTCAAGTGTTTTTTCGGTCCGCGTGCCTACGGATGACAAGGGAGAGTCAGCTCTGCGGTTGAGCATATCAAGCGGCAAGAAGAGCAAGATTGGGGAGTCAATTATCCTGGTACATCCATCTCTAAATTGTCACATCCACCCATTCCAACATCGATGATCGCGTAAAACCGTATTCATGGCTACCACGGGGTCCGTAAGAGGTGCTCAGGACGAGAAAACTGACCATGATGTAAGTCTTGAGGAGCGAACGGCGTCGGCGGCGACAATACTGATTTCGGTGCCTTCGTCTGACTGACTCAACACGTCCACTGAGCTCAGAAGTTTAGGGTGGGTAAATACAAATCACGTGATCGATCGATCTCGCGACTTCACTGGTTGTCGCTACCCCTTAGCGAGATCGTCTCATCATCAGTCCTTTCTTCGTGCCCATCAGCGCCTCCCCTGGGCATGGATTTTGGCACGACGAACCCTCCTTGATGTCAATTGCTCTATTGTGCCGACTGATCAATCTCACCTGCTCGAGGGGCACGTCAGCATACGTCATATCATAAACAGTTCACCACGGCTTGCTTCGTCCTTCCCGAGCGCTGCCCTGCCAGTACTGACACGACATGGTTTCACGCAGCTCTCTCGCTTCGGATCTTGATCTGCACAAAATACGGCCTCACCATTCCGTTTGAGCCTTCGCATAATTTGACGGCTGAACTGCCTACCGCCGCGCCATCGCTACGGCGTCACCTCCCTTCGTTGATATCTTGGCTTGAACATCTCTGCCTCAGCACGCTACTAAGCGGATCATGTGATGAAACACTGGCTATTGCTCGTCCTCTGCGACGCTTAAATGCTGCTCCCACGACCTTCTTTTCTCAACAACGTCCTTTTGCTGCCTCGGACGCATCAATGCTCCTATCACCAGTGTCACTTTTCCAGACTCGCTCGGTTACGTCTGCAGCCGTGACACCTAATAGCCAGGTAGTATTCTCACTCGCGAGGTATGGAACATCAGCAGGGATCCTGCACGGCGAGCTACTGGGCATCATAGCCGCTGTTTTACTGTCTATTCACGCTAGCCAACAAGAACCCTACTCCGTTTTGACAGATCACGGAAATGCAGTCCACATGATACAGGAAGTACTTCCCGGTGCTCTACCGTACGTCTGGAACAATCAGCCAGCGCGTTCTTTGTACCGCTGGTTGTTTTCACTTCTACACTCTCCGACACCCGCGCCCTCACTCGTCTGGACCGCTGCTCATACCAACGGCCTGACGCCAGAATGTCTCGCCAACAATTATGTTGATCGGTTGGCCTCGTTTGCGCAAGAATGGCGTGGTGTTATTCCCTCTGCGCCCCTGGCAACTTTCTCAATGGATGACTACGCTATATTTGCATCCGGTTATGGTTTTGTTGAGAACAACTTGTCTTCTTTCCTCCTTTCTAGGCTCGAAGATTCTTATGTGTTAAGCGACTCCTTTCGTTCAGCGCGTGCCCTGACTCTCGCACTGTATGACAGTCATCGCCTGCCGGACTTCCCATACACTCGAGCATCTAGCTCTTTCTCTGCCGTCGTACAGTTGTATGCCCGATCATCACAACTCGATACCGCAGAGGTGCGGCATCGCGTTTTCGTGATATGCCGCCCTGGTGTCATTTCAGTTGTGATGCCTTTGAGAGCGTGCACCATATTTTTGCCGCTGCCCGGCCTTCTTGGCTATCCGTCGTGCGCATAGCATGCAGCTCTGTGATGAGACCTCCTCGTTACTCGAGGGCAAGGTTGCTGGTCGTGTGCGAGAGGTCTTGGAACGAGCAGCTCAGCGCCCGTTGACGATGCGGCGCTTTGGCCACAATATCGGACGCGTTTTTACATGGGTGTGTTACCCCCGCTTGCGCGTATTGTGGGCAACAAGACTGAGACAGAAGTGGGTGTATTACCCCCACAGTCTCACGACATGGGCAACATTGCATCTGGTAATGCGGGTGCCTTACCCCTCGCAGCTGGATAGTACGACGCTAGATGTTAAGGTGTTGTCACGATCAGCGCAGGCATGACATGTGCATCGTATCTGGGGAGAGTGCAAACGACGTATAAGGTCTCTGAATGCCGTTCCTTCTAGGGTGGCATATAAGTCTTTGAACACTTATGCGTATCTGTTACCAACAAGTTTGCGAGCTTTGCTTCAATTTTAAATGTTTGACTGGATTCGCAGGACGTTTTTGTTTCATTTCGAGGAACTTAGTTACCTGAGCTTATGTCACAGAGCGTAGATGGCCAAATATCAAAAATTCAAAATTCAAAGACTTCCATACGGATTATGTAATATTATTGCCTGCCTATTGTAACTGAGTCCCATAATCAGCATAAATACTAGATGATGAAGCTAAGCGTCACAATTACTGCGTGTGACGATCAAAGGACGGACAATCTTAACTACTTACACTACCTTTTACTCCTGGATGCTCCACCATTGACATTCTTCCAAACACAATCCACAAATTCGACACGATAAGAACTTCAATCGGAGGCTCATCTTGACCAATGAAGCTGAACGGTGACAGTCCATCATTGTTTCCTCACACCGGAACTCTGGCTCGGGTTGGTCACCTTCTCCATTGAATAAGAACAGGAAGTCGGTGTTGTCAAGTTATGGCCTTGCGGTGCAGTCCGTTTTGATTAGGTTGTCATGCATTGGCAATACTGATTGTATGAAACATTAGTTATAGGTGCAAGTACCGCACGAAGGTCTCTAGTCCCTCTTCAAGAAGTGAACTTGATCTCGTGAAATACCGCTTGCCACGTCAGTCTAGCGGCGCGATTACATACTAGGAGAAAATGCCAGGCTAATGGACCCTATAGACCAAAAAACGGACGAATTGTGAAAGAATATACCAAAAAGGTGTAGTGACACGCTTTGCAAATACACTAATAAGAAACCGCATGTAGTCATGAATACCGTTTTTTCGATCTAAAGATGTCCACTCCAATGCAACATGAACTTGAAAGTCTAGCTATCAGTGACGGTGTGTCCTACTATTAGTTTGATAGCGGCGATGTCCCTGGAAAGACCTATACAACCTTAGTCTTCGTGCCTGGCTTGGGTTTCAATGGAGGTGTGATTTGGATAGTGCTGCGTAACGTTCTACCGACTTATTCTTCATGCAGGTGTTTTCAGGAAGCTTTTCCCTCTAGCTGCTGCACACCGTCTCCGCATAGTCAGTCTATACAGACGTGATTATAATCCCACTACCAGCTTCCTTGATGCAGACTTGGCTGGTCTTGTGTCCCGTACAGTGGAGGGACAGGAAAGCTTCCTTCGCACCCAAGCCGTCGATATCGCTACTTTCCTTGTCAATTTTGCCCGCAAGCAACATATTCCCCTGGCGGAGGGTACCGGCGGTGGAATTGCCTTGGTGGGGTGGTCTTTGGGATCATTGCACGCGCATGCTGTTGTGGCCCATCTTGATGCCTTGCCACCTAGTGTTCTGTCTGACCTTGAACAATATCTTCATACTGTAGTTTGTCACGGTGGGCACATTTAATCTTCTAACACTTACGCAATGATGAACGGTGTTACAGATATAAGTGGAGTTTTCATTGGTATACCGAAGCCTCCAGGCTTCAATGTGGAACTTTGGTCCGAGACCGATGTCGAGAAGAGGTTCAAGCTTTTCCATGAATGGGTGGCAGGACACTTCCCACACAAGAATATCACCTCAGGAAGCATTGATGACCTCGAGTTGTACAAATCCCCAGACAAAACTTACTCCATGAACGAGCTGTCTCCTCAAGAGTTCGCAGCGTTCACATCTACCAAGGCTTTTGGTACTTCCGATGCACTCATCGTCTCTATTCAAGCAGACGTATTCAAGGCCACGACACGACGTGCATTCTTCGACACAACCTTGGCGGAGAAGTTCATGCCCAACCTACGTGTCAGGTACATGTGTGGTGGGGCGAGTCCTGGTGTTATTGTCTGGGCATTGCATGAATTTAGGAAGTGTTTGGTTGACCCCAAGCCAATTTATGGGCCTGGTGCCGAAAAGGCACGAGATGTAAAGTTCAAATTCCAGACGGAGGGGAACCACTTCATTTTTTGGGATGAACCAGAGGTTGCCGTCGAACAATACATAGCTACCATCAACCTTTAGAAATAGTGGTTCCAGTTAATGGTCAATTATTCTTGACATGCGGTGTATATCATTCTAAGTTTAAAATTACTCAGCCCAGCCTGCCACGCGCCAAATAAAACCAAACCGAATTGCGGCCGTGCGGGCGTATTCCTTGACCTAAACTCGAGTTCAACCTGTTATCCCGCCAAAGACGTTGGCAGTGTCTACTGCGGCAGTGCTCATTTTTTTCTACTTCTTCTAGATCTAAGACAATCACACTAGGCTGGACTCTTCAACACATTCGATAACCCATGCTTGACCGCCAGCTGCCTCCCAAACTAGCTTATAATAACTACTCATCAGATAATGCTTTCGATAACCAACAACACCTCAACTCTGGCGAAGGCTGGCAGGCCACCTTCCTAGGCGAGAAACCTCTAGCATCTGCCTTGGATGGAGGAATTCCCTATGCAAGACAATCATCCTTGCGCCTGGCGCCAGATGCAAGCCTGGCGAGATTTAGAAAGTTCTTGTCTCGTTATTCCATTTTCTCCGACTTACCATCTGCATCATCGAATTCGCGGCGATCTATTGGCCCTCTCACAACACCTTCCCCATCTCCTGCCGTATTGATGTCTCGATTTATCCTCTTGTGCAGTTTCTGGTACACTACATCTGCACTTTCGTCAAATACTGGCAAAACTATCCTCAATCAATGGAATCACCCTGTCACCCTGACAATTGTACAATTTGCATTCGTCGCAGGGTACTGCCTACTCTTCATGTCGCCAGTCATCCAATTTACAAGATTGCGTCCGCCAACTGGCGCCATTTTGCGAAGCACCCTGCCCATGGGCATGTTCCAAGTTGGTGGTCATATGTTCTCTAGCATCGCAATTTCCAAAATACCCGTCAGCACCGTTCATACTATCAAGGTATGCTGGACCATCGGTTCCTTATTTTTAAGTGATGAACGTGCTTTCAGGCTCTATCTCCACTGTTCACCGTTGCCGCTTACGCCATACTTTTCGGCGTCAAGTACTCTCCAAGGACGTACTTCTCTCTACTGCCCCTGATCATTGGTGTCATGCTGGCATGTACGTTCGAGTCCGCTTCAAATCCGACAGGTCTCATTTGCGCATTTGGTTCTGCCCTTGTGTTCGTCAGTTCCAATATCTTCTTTAAGAAGATTATGCCGTCAGGGTCACAGACATCGTCAAACAAGTTAGACAAACTCAACTTGTTATTTTATTCTTCGGCCATGGCATTCGCATTGATGATCCCGATTTGGTGCTTCACCGATCTTCCCCTTCTCGCTGCTGACTCTGTTCATGTCACGCACCCGGCTCGTGGACATGAGGCTCCTCATTCCATCCCGTATTATTTCTTCATGAACGGCACCGTCCACTTTGCGCAGAACATCATCGCATTTGTAATCCTCTCCAGTACCTCTCCTGTGACGTACTCTATCGCCTCTCTTATCAAGCGCGTCGCTGTCATCTGTATCGCCATAGTGTGGTTCAACCAAAATGTACACCCCATGCAGGGTCTCGGTATTGGGATGACCTTTCTTGGTTTATACCTGTATAACACGGCGAAGAGTGATGTTGAGCGAGGGGAGAACAGGATGCGCAGGGTGGAGGCGACGCGGGACATGATGCTCCCCATTAATCGGATAGATGAGAAGCTATTGAATGGGAGCTCGCCATCATCCCCCGTCCCTGGCACGCTGGGGCTTCCGGTGGCCGCAGCCACAGGAATGGGGGCACACCCTGCTGCTGGCCGACCTCGGGTGCAGATATCCACAAATGCGCATCCACACCCAGATTCGTATGGGAACGGGCATGGGCATCCTAACCAAATTCCTTCACAAGACCCTTTGTCCATCTTTTCAAAGCGAAATCCCATTTCGCCTACAGAACCATACCCGTCACCGCCTCCCTCCCTAGACTCGCCGACTTCCAATACGGTCCCTATTGGATATCAGCTCCCGCGTACACAGCAGCATTTCGGGATGGAGTCGTTCACTGTGGGACACGTTACTGCTTAACAGAACTTAGTATCTCTATCCATATTTATTCTCGAGGACTGTTGCCTTTCGATTAATGTAGATAGTGTTACCGACAGTCTCTACGTGACATTAGACTATATAGCGCTCATTTTGTTCAAATGACGATGTGGATATGTACATACGTGTTTCTAGGCTCTAGCTACTGATCGCCATTTGCGTAAGTCCCGTTTGATCTAAAGTTCATAGTCAGACGTCCCACGTTTGAAGCTTGAGCTCGACACCCTCTTACACTTGAGTAAACATGACTCTGATCGTTGATAGTGAGACAGTTTCGGCAGCAGCAACTACCCCGGAATTCGCAGTCGAGTGTAGTGCTCTGACAGCAACAACAACAACGGAGGCAGCTGCACCTCAACCAGGCGTGACGCCCACTGTGCTGGAGGATACGCCACGCCCAGAACCAACATCTGTTCTGAACGCGCCCAGTGCCGTTGAGGCTACGCTAGAAGATGACAAGGAACCACAGAATCCATTGACGGAGAAGTTTACCGAGGCTGAGTGGAAGGCCTTGAAGGAATTCCGCGTGAGTTAATCAAGACCATTCATGCACTTTAGAGATGGTGTTCAATTGTAACGTCAACCTGTATTTGTAAATCACAGTCTACTTTTCCTGAAACATTCAAGGAGGCATTTCCAGAGCAGGATGGTGCTGGGTCAACGCCATATAACTTGTGGGGTGTCACCATCAGCCCACTGAAACCCAAGGATGCTCGCGTCAGTGTCGTGTTAATGAAGTTCCTTCGTGCCAGGTGCGATTCGTTTTCTTGGACTAAAATCTATCATGAACATCAACTGGATAGGAATCTCAATCCTGCGGAGGCCAAGGACATGTTCATCTCTACTTTGCAATGGCGCAAGTCCTTCAAGGTCAATGACATTATGAAGGAAAAGTTTCCAGAAGACATATTTGGAAAGCTTGGAATAACATATGGAAAGGACAAGGACGGACATCCCATCGCGTATGTCCATCATGTACCTTCTGAGAAGTCCGAGTCTCGTTCTGACTCGATTTCTGAAGGTACAATCTATACGGCGCCAATAAGGATCTGGATGCCGTCTTCGGTGATACACAACGCTTTCTAAGGTATACACACATCATCATCACTTTCGTGGTGTCGTCCCTGACATCTCTCTAGATGGCGTGTTGCTTTTATGGAGGAAAGTATAGCCCTGCTTGACTTTGAGACTGTCGACCAAATGGTCCAGATCCACGGTATGTATCTTGGTAGTCAATGTGATGTGTTCGCTAAGCTTTCATACAATTTCACTAGACTACGAAGGCGTAAGCATGTCGGATAGAACACAGGCCTCCAAGAATGCAGCATCCGAAGCATCCAGTATATTCCAGGGTCACTATCCCGAATTCCTGGTTCGTATTTCTGTCTCTACTGGCTCCCGAATGTAATATATTATGTTCACAGGCGAAAAAGTTCTTTGTCAACGTGCCTAGCTTTCTTACTTGGATTTTTTGGATATTCAAGCCGTTCCTATCAGCTGCAACAGTGGCGAAGATGAGTGTTGTTGGTTCTGGTCCCAAGGTCATCGGAACCGCTCTTCTACCTCTGATCCCTGCCAACCAGTTGCCGAAGAGGTACGGTGGGGACGCTGATGGATTCTAGTGAGTTTATGAACGCGTGTGTATGATTTGAATGTGCTTCTGCAGTCGACAATCCCGATTCCCAGCCACACTATATATCATATCTCATATATCCCCGCTCAGATATCAGCTCTATTGTTTTCTGATGAGACCTACGTATATTCTGCAAGCCTACGTGATTCGTACATTGTTGTACCCGATGCATATGTCCCTCCAATCCAGACTACAAAGATTACGGAGATGAGAGGCAAATGGGCAAAGCAAGGAAAGAAGTGGGGCAGTAGTATAAGTACAACATTGCGGATGCGAGATTTTTTGACCATTGCTGCGGCTTCGAAAAGACAAGAAAAGATATCGAAAAGTTGTCAAAGACCAAAAAAATGCAGGATGCGCCGAGTAATGAAAAGGTTGATTATTGAGGGCGCGGCGTGCAGTGAGGTGCGTCAGCTTATTCACCGCCCCCAATACTACTGCCGCTAGCGGTGGTTGCGGCATATTCGTGCTTGACAGGGTCCCAAGCATCAATCCAACTCGGAGGACGTCCACCTGGCGCCCACTTGGCAAAGCGCGAATGCGCTGGACGCAGGTTAGGATTACTGAGTGAAGAGTGGTCAACATTCGATCGTTGCAAGTAACGCTTTAGAGAAGTCTTACTTTGCACTCAGCGTTGGGCCCAATGCCAGTCGCGCAAAATTGCTGGGGAATAGCGGATTTCCTGGACCGCGATCTCCAACAGGATCATACAAGCGCTCGCTATCGTTGTCCCCGAAGTCAGATCCGGCTGAGTTGTGGATGTAGCTGTGAGAACGAGGGGAGGGTTAGCAAGTATGTCATGAGAAGCACAGAAATACCAACCTGAACGTGGGTCGTCCAAGGCTACTGACCGAGCCATGCGAACTCGTGCGAGAAATGCGCCTAGTAAGGGGAAAGGTAAACTCCGACGACCATTTAAGCTCCGTGCTGTTGCGTCTTGAGTCATTTGAATTCATGACCGGGCTAGTAGGATGTGAAAATGGTTGTGACACAAAAGCAGGGGAAGACGGCACAGATGAAGTGGAAATGCGTAAACCATGAATCTGCAAAGAATCTTCCACAGGTTGAGTGTCCTTTTCGGGCGCTTCTGTGTCTGCGCCGTCCTCGTCTTCTGCCTCCTCACCAATGTCCTGCAGCCCATCTCCCTGTCCAAGAGAAGTAGACTGTGACAAGTTTGATGGGAGGCTAAGCGGAGGTGGATTAGCTGAACCACAAGTGGAGACGTTCCCGTTTGAGGGTGTCGCGAGTATGGGCTCAATCAACAAGTGAGGTGGGGTTGAGAGAGGGTCCTCTCGCGGGGATGAGGGCATAGAATCATGTTGAGTCGATTGGACATCGCTAGGCAGAAAAGGTGTAGTGTGCGTGTCTGACTCTCCTGAGCCTTCGACCGCACCGTCTGTATCCAATATTGCCGGAATAGGAGAGTCAGAGACGCGCGGCGGGTGATCGTCCACTGCAATCACGCTCTCCGTATCATATTCTCCGTCAACCTCAAGCTCGGGAGGCACGCCAAGAGCTCCTTTCAGACGCTCCCAGATGAGCTCTGAATGAGAAAGAACACATCTGCGCGCATTGCACACCCAGAGGGCGTCACTTGCTGTTTGTCTATCAACATTGGTTAGCCAGAAGCGCAAAGTCCCGAAAGACCATGTCGCAGGATCAGCAGAGAATGTAGAATCGTTAACATTTTCTGGGCCTTGTGTCCTGGGAAATGTCTGAGCGAGGAGGGAAAGAAGTTTGGTTGTGGGATGAGTTGATAGTAATTGAGTCACTTCGATGGGACGATCGATGAAAGGAAGGTAAATGTCATCGGGTAACGGGGTGAACGTCGCAGGTACCGTTATTGCACCAGCGGCATGATTCACCGGACTTGTGAGTGCGGGAAGATGAGGAGTGCTAGGGGCAGATGCAGGCGGAGGGACATAACGAGGGCTAGTTGATTGACGAGCAAGGTCTACAAGCTGTTCTGGGGACAAATTTGGTTTGGAGAATGGGGTTGAACCTGACGCAGATTGTCTCCGGGTGAACTGCGGTGAACTAGAGCGTAGACGGGGGGAAGTAGACGGGCTGGAGGCCCGTCGGCTAGGGGAAGTAGCGACGGCTGGTGCAGATGCAGAAGAGGATGGTGAAGCTGAAGAGTTCGGAGCGAAAGATGAAAATGCAAAGCTGAGTCTACCAGCTGATGATCCGTCTGCATTCGTCGAAGAGGATATACTCCCAGGATGACGTAGTGAACGCCGGTGAAGCGCTGGCGCGGACGACTCTGAGAGATTACTCGGAGTGGTCCCAGGACCTTGCGATGCGCCTGCTTGCGAATTGGGATCCAGGACGCGAACGATGGTCAAAGTCGATGACGATGATCGATTAGGATCATGATTGAGGGGAGCATGATATCCAAACGGATCCGACGCACTGACAGATCCTCGTCGAACAGATAGTTTTCGCTGCGGCTGGGACATGGTCGTTTCAAGCTACAGAGCTGAGAGAGCTCACAGATCGTTTACCCTAGTACTTGTGAAGCTCTTTATAAACGGTGGGACACGGGGCAAGAAAGTTTAGTACATCTCGCTCCTTATGGTAATAATAAACCAAATTTAATACGTCAGAGGTGACGCCGGAAAGGTCCGTCTAGACCAAGTGGAGTCTACATAACAATATTCTACACCTGTAGCAAGCTAACCTCCGAGCTCGATTGCAAAGGCCACAGCCAATTTAGAAAATTCCAACATATGTGAGAAGCTAAACTCATCCGAGATATCAATCCGGCTGTAAGATTGGAATCAGTATCCAGTCTCCACGATTTGGTTTGATATACAAACTCGTTAGCGGTATGAATGTTCCTGTGATTTGAATTCTCAAAAGCCCCCTCTAACACCACAATCAGAATAAAGATGCAAGTAATGGAATATTATCTCACCAATGGTAAAGATGCTAGGATATCCCGCTTTACTCCAAGGAGCACTGTGAGAGACGTAAGTAGCTGGCATTCATAACGAAGTATTAAGCATAACTCACTGGTCGGAACAAGCATATCCACATTTGGTTTCAACAAATGGTATGTCCAGATATTCAGTAATTAATCCTTTGTTGAACTCCGTCAAGCTAGTATTGCAGGTTAGAATACAACAAATGATCATGGCAAAATATGCTCACGCTGAATCCACATAGTCTACAATTACACCAACTTCCTCAACTGTACCTCTCTTTACCCATGCTGTCATGTCATACTACCCAAGTCAATTTACTATAATCAAGTTTAGACATCACCCCTACCTGGCTCATTGCGTAAACTTTCAAACCCTGGGCTTCATAGTGCTGAGCGATAGCCTGTGAACCAAGAAGACCACCCTCCTTAAAATTCAGAATCAGCAACACACACACGTCACGCGTTCATATGACTCACTTCAGCGGAATACCAGTGGAACTCAACAGGCCGAATTGGGTGGAAGTCAGATGCCAGGAGTGCACGGTATGATTCCAGGATGGTGACACTCCCTGACCCGTCATCATCAGCACCTTACTTGGAAATCAGCCAGTCAACTCAAAGGATATAAAATAAGCGCAAATTACCAGGGGCAGCAAGAAATGGCCACAAGTTTGTACTGGGAAAATAACATCAATTACGCAAATATGACATCCAAAGACAACAATCACCTGTCTTGGTGAGCACCAAGAATGACAATCTGATCATTTGCTGCATCGGAACCGTTGATTCTGACAATCTAGCTAGCAATTTACCGACGAGAATATAAAATTCAATGATAGGCCTTACAATCGAATGTTGTCCCCAAGGATGATGGAACTCGTCGATGCCGATTAGAGACTTCAACGAAGGCGATGCGAAATCCGCGGTGACCTAATGACCAAACTTCGGCAATCAATCTAGTAATGTGCGGAGAACATACTTCATTGATCTTAGATAGTAGCCATTGTTGACTTTCCTTGCCTGTCTACACAGCAGCTGAATATTTCAGGATGGACTGTGCAGATTAGGATTTACCTCACTACGATAGTCTACGACACTGAGTCAGTGTACTGAAACACTTAGCGAATACAAGACATACATCTTGTTCTAAAACTGGAGAACTTCTCTAAGTTTGCCCTTGGACCCTCGGTAGACAGCGTCTTGATGACTTTGGTGACTTGTTCATGAGCGCTCAGCGGCGGGTATGAAGCTATGAAAAGGTAAGCTCCACGACTTTCACAATCGACAGCTATACCCACCTTTCGTCGCGACGCGGAAGTCAGCAGACAAACCGAGATTGCGATTATCTGTGCTAGACGTGCAAATATAATTGAGAACTGACATTCGAACGAAGAAAAGAATATAAGTACATGTCGAAGAAACGAAGCCCTTTGGCTTTAGCCTCAATCTGGATGACACGCGGTTAGAAAGTGAAACCCGCAGTAGCTGTAAAACGAGTTGTCCTCACCTTCTCAAGTTCTGTCATCCATACCGGTTCCTGACCTTCTGATAGCTGAACCAGCCGGAGTTCATCCAGGTTTAGATTGAAACCAGGTTGAGGGTTAGAGGGCACGTCAAACACCTGGCCTTGCATAACGACCTGGCGGTTACTTCCTGCATCATAGAAGACTTGGTTGATAGGTTTAGAAAGTGTAATTCCGCTGAAAGAGAGCAGCAGGAGCAGTGAAGTCCTCATCTTATTGGTGAAGCACAAAGGAACTAGTCTGAGAGGTGATAATCCCACTTAGTAATAGGCTAAATAGGTAACAGAGCATAACAAAGCATAACTTAACCAATCAAAACTCCCTCACAATATCATTTAAGTTCGAAGGTTTCAACTGCCACAGCAAAATTACATGGTTACAACTATTAATGTTGCCGAGAATATCAAGTTCTCATACTCTTGGACAGGCTGATCAAGATAAATTCGCCGAGCATGTGTGCCATATATTTCGGTAAGCTCCACTCGTATGTACTACGTATCACTTCGCTGGTTATATTCTCCGCTAGTCACCGTATGGGCCATGTTGACATTGTCCACTTATTGGAGATATGCCGACTTATATTACACAATGTCCGTTATGCCCAACGCCCCAGGAGTGCCATGATCCCACATCCAAAAAGCATGCATGAGATAGCATAAGCAACGTGTCTGTTAGACCCGTTAATCATCTCTTTGTTGAAGATAAACTCGTGAGCAAGAAGCTGCATAAAATGATGAGTTCTCGCGCTCTGGTCACGACACTAAAAATTATAACATACCTCAACGAGGCCAGTGTACAACAGGATACCCGCGCTCAGTGAGTCGAGCACTCCACTCACGATGGAGGCGGTGGTACTGTTTGGGTTGTACGTGGTTTGAACGCCAAGCCCGACTGCAATGCCTAATGGTGTGGTGATTCCGTACAGCAGCGCGCCACAGATGGCTACATAATTGTACTTCGAGGGAAGCTGTAAGTGAGCAAGACGAGTACCGACTCCAAGGCCTTCGAAGGTTTCTGCGTATTATGTCAGTCCAACAGTGATTCATAGGATACTGAGATTGCTCACGGTGAAATATGATGACAACAAACAGGATTTTAAAGTCCGGGTCGACCGCCAGCGTCAGACCAATGAGCATACTTCACAAATAGTAAGCATGAATTAATCATTGGACGTGGGTCAAGGGAGACCACACCTATGCAATAATACGCCAAATTCTAGGATGAACACACCGATGATCTGCCCCGTGGCAGCAAGATCTGGGTGCTCATGATCATGTGCAGATTCTAGATCTTCCTTGATCTTCTCAGAGTTTGAGTCGCCACCCGTCATTACACCTTCAGGTCCATGTGCAGCGTGCGCGCCGAGACCGTGACCGTGTGTATCTGTCTTGAAATAAGGGGAGCCTCGGCACGCGATTAATCCAAAACGCACCGTGCCTCATACCGAGGGCCGCCAGTTTGGCTGTACCCCACCTGAAAGCCACCAGTTCAACGATAAATATAGAAAATATACTGAGCAAGGCTAATGCGAGCGCGTAGGGCTGTGATATGACATGCATGTGAGTAATGATACTACTTCCAGAGACTCCTGACTTACATACTCCTGCCAAGCCGGTGACAGGCATGGAGATGAAAGCTCACTCATGGCGGGGCTGAGGAGATGAATAAAGGCTGTAGCTATCTGCGGAAATATGAATAACCAGATATTCTAATCGAGAGCTGATGGAACGCACGATAACACCGGAACCAAAGTATTTGGCAAAGCTACAAGATTCAAATCAGAACGCTGCACGTATTCACGTTGAATAATTCATGGCTCACTCAAAGACGGCTTTGGGGACGTGAAGCCAGCTTGTCCGGTTAGCAAGCACTGGAAAAAGTGCACCGCTAGTCGATCCGATAAGGATGATGAAGATCGATGCGATCCGCAACTGTGCATATGTAGTCGCGCCTCCACCAGAACCGCAGTTTGAATCCGACATGGTTTGAAGTGGGGCTGCCTTTCAACGATCTTGGCGAGTCAGAGAGGAAAATGAATGCTCTGGGAGGAATTTGGTGGTGCTTGTGAACGTTAAATATCCCCTGTGATTTTCATGACTGGGAGGGTCCTCACTAGCACTGCTCAGGCCTCAGGCCTCAGGGCTGCGGACCCACATGCCCTCACAGTCACGTCGTCGATCGACGGGTCCATTCGCCACCCTGTATCTACTAGATAGTCCCACGAATTCGCGTCGTCCTTAGACTTCGCGCATTGGCTTAGCACACGCAATTCTGCACGGAATGCCTATGTATATGACGTAAAAGTTCCTCCCAACACAATACACATGTCTATGTGTTTTTTGGTAAAAAACGAAGTGAAATTTTTGCTACGACCGAGTCATGGGTATTCGAAGCTGGTTTTGTACATATTTGACTTTCTCAAAGGTTAGATATCAGATCACCACGGAAAAATCTGGAATGCGATATGATGGTTATACATGCATATGATTATAGAATGTTAAAATAAATTTCTCCGGGGCCACATGCTTGTCAGAAATTAGAATCATCTGCTATGAATGATTAATGTTAATGAGATACGACCCAGACGTGCACTGTGACATCTAAACTCCGCAGTGCCGAAATGCGCGTATTGGTGCGGAGTGTGAAAAGGCATGGCGGCAGACGTGACATGGTGTGACATATTGGCACTTTTCTGCGCGGTACGCCGGTAAGTCACTGCTGGACTCAACATGCTGATGATTTTTTACTAGTGGGTCTTGTACTTTCGATGTCAGACTATCCATCCGCCGAAAAATTATATTTTTATGTGGATGCGTTGTAGAGTTATAGATGTTTTCCCAAAAATGCACGAACTCTACTTCATGTGACATAAAGTTTGGCGTATGAAATACGTACGATGGAAGGGAACGTATGAAGTAGGTCGTGCTACCAAAAAAAACGGCTTTCTGTCGGCTGCATTGAGCGCACAAGGTCTATGCATAAATAAGACCGCATCTCATAATTTCACGGCGTCTACGGACCCCCACCCATTTTATTAGTGTCATGTATTTTTAAGAGTCGTCGATTAATACCAGATCGAGCCTCCACGTTACTAAAGATACTCCGAGTCCTCAACCGATGGCCCAAAGCTTCAGCCGCTGGTTGTAATATCAGGTTTCGGCGCAGGCTTTGGTTGCGAAGCGTCAAGGTTCTTCCCTTGGAGACTAGGATTGCCAATTACTGATCGTGCCTCTGCTTTCAGGGCCTGCGCGTAATCTTGCAGTTCGTTTGCAAGCGCGTGAAGGACAGGCTGAGGCGTCGAGAGGACTTGAGCGGCATAAAATTTAAGCTTCATCTGAATGTGACTAGGCACGCCAACTGAACGTGGAGCAAAAAGACCAGAGAGGTCTGACAGTGCGGCTAATAATGTAACAGACCAATGATCGCTTAATAAGCTGTTATCGGAAGATGTGGCGACCACTAATCTGGGTCTCGCTATGATGGACGAATCAAGTAACAGTGCCGACAAGGACTCGGCGCTCATGGTTCCCTTGAATAGGACTGAGTACCACCTCGGTGATTGATAATGAGAAAAACACGCACAGGGTCAAAGCGTGACCACACGTCAGTGACAGCACTGCTCAACGTCGAGTACAGCACTTGTGACCGACGGGCTACCAGGAACGGGACAGCTTGCGAGATGATTCTTCGCGCCTCTGCTTCATCTGACGCATCATTTTCCGTAGAGGATAATGGTGAAACAGATAGATGACGGGTGGCAAACGCATAAGCAACACTATTACGATCAGGCGATCACCCAGTGACGACAGATTTTGAAGACTTACAGGACAGCACAAACATTGTATATCAGAGAGGGACTACTAGCCTGGCTTGTTACGAGCTTGAGCGGGAACTCCATCAGTGCAGGTTTTGATCCATATCGCATGCTCCCGCTCGAATTCGGAGAGCCTTCCAAGGAAGCTTCCCACCATGGCTCCTGCCTCACAGACTGCAATTCTTCACTAGACAGTAATTTTTGAGCCAATTGACTGGTTGGGTCCCTGAGCGCGTTGAAGAACTTGTCTATTTCTTCCTTGGTCATAAGTCTGAGTAATTCGTCGGATGATGCTGAAGCTAAACAGACCACGTTTGGTTACGGACTAGCTAACGAATCAGGATCACGCACAAATATCCACATCGGCAAATCTAGAGACAAGATCGCTAGAGTCACTGTCGGATCCATCCTGGTCACGCAGCAAGCTGCTGTCTTCCTCCTGAGTTTGCTCTTCGAGGCGCTTCAGCAACTCGAGCATCTTTTGCCTCTCTTCATGTGTTTTCGAAGACTTCGTTTCGATGCTTGTTTGGATTTCTTTTCGATAAAATGTCTCCGAACATTGGTAGTGAGCCTGCACAACTTGAACGCCTTGTTATTGAAAGTGGGTCATGTACCTACCTCTGAACGAAAACACGTCAGGTTGCAGTAAGACACGTTGCACCCCGGACATGTATACCTGGAAAACTGTCTACGACAACTTCATAGAGAAATCAATAGGATTTGGATTCAAGATGACATAGTTCAAATGCACGTACATGCCACACAAAACTTTGCTCATCCCCTCGGCGGAATTTGAGCCGTCTTCGCGGACTCGAATTTGTCCCACTTCGTTCATGATGGTCGCGGTGGATCCTGCTGTAGATGTAGAACAGTCAGGGAGAAATGACGAGCATCTTCATTCCCAAGTGGCTGCAGCCTGCTACTAATCTACATAGCTCGGCTTCCGCCGGGCCGCCGGGAACATACCTTTCTTGGCTAGTTTACCGTGAGTTTTGAAAACGCGGTCCACCACAACTCTGCAAGTAAGTACTGAGAGACCACGACCTTCAAAAGCATCAATCTTCATTTAGCAGCTATCTTCTACTGCAGGAATACGCAGTTTCGAAGGAAAAAATGGTGGAAGCATGCTTGGTTGACTCTAAATCAACATTCTCGATTTTTGCTCATTTACTAGACGCCCGCATACTACGCGCCCTTGCAGATATGGGCTTCGCTCGTCCAACCCTCGTTCAAGCAAAAGCCTTGCCCATTGCTCTGGAAGGCCGCGATATCCTTGCAAGAGCTCGGACAGGCAGTGGCAAAACTGCCGCATATTGTATGCCAGTCGTGCAGAAAATTCTTAGTGCAAAATCTGTGGGTGTATTATATTCAGATCATATATCAAGTACTCATCGACTCGTGCAAAAGTCGTTGTCTACCTCAGACGACGCTTATCAAGTGACACGCGCTGTGATCCTTGTGCCCACTCGCGAATTGTCCGAACAGGTCACGGCATGCCTTCAAAGACTTCTTACTTATTGTGAGAAGGAGATTATCGTTATGAACTCTGCCACTGGTTCCTCTACACATCTGCAACGGTGAGATGGTTTCTGCTACTCATATGGTTTTGCTTATGACTGCATCCAGTGCACTTCTCGCAGATAAGCCAGACATCGTCATTTCAACTCCTTCTCGTGCCCTCGGGCTGCTTCAATCAAAGGTGTGTCATAGCCTCACAGTACATGGAGTGTGCCTCATATCGATCCAGACTTTGAATCTCTCCTCACTGGAATCCCTTGTTATCGACGAGGCTGATCTCATTTTGTCCTATGGGCACGATGAGGACGTTCGACAGATCTTTTCTGGAGCATATCTCCCAAAGGTGTATCAGTCATTTTTGATGAGTGCAACCATGACAGATGATGTCGAGGCGTTGAAAGGCTTGGCTCTTCGGAGTCCAGTGAGCTCACCAACTCACCAGCTTTTGTCTTTGCTGATTGCGGTCTTCAGGCCATCCTGAAGTTGGAAGAAGATGAGGATGAAACCTTACTCCTCAGCCAATACTCTGTTCAGTCAGTCCTGCATTGAGTCATCACTTGTTGACTCTCATCCCTGCTTAGGTGCTCCGAGGTCGACAAATTCCTTCTCACATATGTCATCCTCAAACTCCGCCTCATAAAGGGCAAATGCATACTGTTCGTCAACGATGTCGACCGTTGCTACCGCTTGAAACTATTCTTGGAACAGTTCTCAATAAAATGCTGTGTGCTAAATTCTGAGCTTCCCCTTAATTCCAGGTTGGATAAAACTTGTGACATGTTTTCACGCTTAACATTTCATAGATACCATACGGTGCAGGAGTTTAACAAGGGTGTTTACGACTATATCATTGCGACTGATGAACACGGTGCTCATGCAGAAGCTGATTCTGACGATGAACCTGAGGAAGATAGACTTCAGGATGGTGTTGGCGACGAGTGCAGGTAACATTTGTTAGAGCTTTGATTGCTTCTTACGGCTTCTCAGTGACGCCGTCACAACGCGCGGAGACAAACTCGGACAAAGATACTCAACTCGAACCCGCGTCTAAAAAGCGGAAGCATCCCCAAAATGCTCCTCAACCTGGCCCTTCCAAACCAAAGAAACAGAAGCGCCGTACGAAGTTGGACAAAGAGTATGGCGTTACGCGTGGAGTAGACTTTGTCGACGTTGCTTGTGTACTCAACTTCGATCTACCCACGTCATCTCGGTCATATACCCATCGCGTAGGACGCACGGCTCGCGCTGGTCGGGCAGGCATGTCATTATCCTATGTCGTCCCTGAAGATCAATGGGGTAAAAACAAGGTAGTCGGTGGCCTTGAAAGCGCGAAGAATGACGAGGCTGTATTTGCGAGGATTGAGAAAGAGCAGGCGGCACGTGGTTCCAAAATACAGGAGTACAAATTTGATATGAAACAAGTGGAGGCATTCCGATATCGAATGGACGACGCACTGCGGTCCGTAACAAGAAGTGCTATCAAAGAGGCTAGAATCAAGGAACTTAAAACTGAGATCATCAACTCAGAGAAACTCAAAGTAAGCACTCTGATCGATTTACTTCTGTGTTACTCATGTACTGCACAGGCCCATTTTGAGGACAACCCACTCGATCTCGAATATTTACGCCATGACAAACCGCTACATCCCACCAGGGTCCAGGCTCATATGAAACATGTACCAAAATACTTACTTCCTCGTCTAGTTTCAGCTCCAGCTATCGAAGCTGAAGAGTCTCAAGTTGGTTTCGTACCTTTCAAAAAGTCCTCTGCACGCGGTCGTGGCCGCGGTCGTGCTCGCGGTAGCAGAGGTGGGGGGGGCGGAGGCCGCGGCGGGAAGAAAAAATCTGATCCTCTTAAGAAGTTTCGGTAGTGTGTTACTCAGTATGTAGTAGCACCCAAAATTATATTTCATCATATCATTTCCATTTCACTCGTAAACGCCTTCATCCCAGCCCTTTGACCTCTCGACGGCACGCAGCCATGTAGTGAACCCTTTTTCCCGATCCTCCTCGGGTATATGGGGTTTGAAAGTTCGACTGCCTTGGGTATTGACTTCCGCCAACGTCGCTGGCTTAGATATGTCCCAACCGAATAATCGGATGGCTGAGCCAGCAAGAAGTGCTGAACCCAGGGCGGTTGATCTGTCTTGATAGTTAGCGTGTTATCCTCCGTCCTTATAGATATGCACACACTCTTTCATGTCAGGACGAACAACGTCGAAACCACCGATATTCGCCAAGATCTCCATACAAACATCACCATTGGTCATGCCTCCGTCGACCTTAAGGTGTTCGAGCTTTGCGCGCGAATCAAGTTTCATGCTCTCAAGAACTGCACGAGTCTGGAAAGCAGTAGCTTCCATAGTCGCACGAGCAATATGTGCGGGAGTGGTATACGAGGATAATCCTGTTCTTGAAACTCGCTATTGCGTCAATGAAACATGGTAAATTCAGCGTACCGATAAGTAGGCCTGCAGCACCGGGATCCCAATATGGTGCGAGGAGGCCAGAAAACGCAGTTACGAAGAACACGCCTCCACTATCAGGTACTGAAGCTGCCAATGTGTTTATCTCGCTGGCGGACTTGATGAAACCCATGGAGTCCCGCAACCTGACACGAACACTCAAGGGATGCAGTAAATCAAGACTTGCATCTCACCATTTGATGGCGCTTCCAGCAACTCCAACTACATTAGGTTATCACATGTGTGTAGTACCAAAAAATCAACACGCTCACTACTTCCTTCCAGTGCATAGACTGGGGCAGCCCCTGGACCGGGTTGGTAAGCCACCTTACAAAAAAACTCGTGAAAAATGGTGCATGACACCCTGAGAAGGCTGCCTACCGTGCTCAGAAGTCCATGACTACTATTGACAATGTTCTTTCCTGTACAGAATAGGAGGAACGCACCCGTACCATATGTACATTTGGCTTCTCCTTGGCGGAGACACTTGTTTCCTACTAAAGCGCCTTGTTGGTCTCCAATAAGTCCTCCAATAGGAACTCCTTTTAGTGGGCCATGAGACAGATGGCCATACACCTCGGAGGAAGACACAAGTTTTGGTAGTATTGACCGTCGGAAACCAAAAAAAGTCAGTAAACGCTCATCCCAAGCAAGCTTGTGCAGATTTAGCAAAAGGGTGCGAGATGCATTTGTGACTTCGCCAACATGAATGCCGCCATGGACACCGCCTGTAAAGTTCTGTGCGTACATCAGGGGGATCCATCGCACTCCTTGACAGAATGACACCTACATAAACAACCCACGACTCGATTGTTCCGAAAAGTAGATCATCTTCGTGGTGGGCCTTCTGGACTTTACTGTAGTTGTCAACCATCCATCGAAGTTTGATCCCAGAGAAGTACGTGGAGAGTTTCAGGCCCGTACTATCCAAGGATGAGCAATCACAGCACGTAGAATTATATCACTTACATGTCACGTAGAGCTTCCACACCTTCTTCTCCTGTCTTAAATTTCCCAGGCTCTACCTCAATGCCAGTTGTAGCCAACAGGTGCTCAAAGTGAGCGACAGTGTTCTTCGTACGAGAATCGGTCCAAACGATAGCCTTACACAGAGGTTTACCTGTAGTCCTACTCCATGCGACAGTGGTTTCACGTTGATTCGTAATCCCTGCAATTCATGAAGGATGAGGACCTTTTGAGTAGGATGAACGCAAGTACCGATGACTTTCACGCTCTCCTTGGCCCATCCTGCTTCTTCAAGTTTCACACAAGCCTGAGTGATGCACTGCTCTGAGATTTCTTGTATCTCTTCAGGGTCGTGCTCATGCCACCTGCCACATGCAGTGCCAGTAAGGATAGGGTTAGAATTAGGGGGTGCCAGTGACTACTCACCCTGGGTTCGGGTAATACTGCGGGAACTCTGACTGATGCTGGGAAACGATGTTTGCGTACTGATCAAAGATGATGAACCGCACGGAACTGCATACATGGCTGACCATCAGTAATCACGAGGAAGTTCATAGTCAATTCATAGCCATACGTTGTACCGCAATCAAGAGACCCAACAAATTCGCCCTGTTTCAAAATCGACATGGCGTTGCGGAGATGGGGTACCAGTGGTAGAGAAGGGTCTTTGACGCTGGTGGCGGCTTCCGTTGTCCAACCCCGGTAACCTCGTGAACACTTGTTCCGAACCGGCCGGCCCACCGACTGGCACCACCGATAACCTACCGACGACTTACGAGCTCGCATTGACCGTATAGCTTCATGCGAGCTACGACACATTATGAACGGCACAGTACGGTATTAACAACGATTGAGATTGTACGTTGACAGTTGGTAAAACGATAACCGCTGAATCTAGTGGGAGTGTGTGGAGAACATATCATAAAACACCATATGCTTCTTTCTCTTCTTCTGTCC